GACGTCCCGCAGTGTTTGCTAAACGGGCTCGAGGCGGAACATAGTTCGCAGGCTTAGGTGGAGGGGTGTAACCGGGAGGGAAGGTGATCCGCTCTTTGGAGAAAGTGCCGGTACAATGTTTATACTCGCTACCGCACTGCTTTTTGCAGAAGTGGCAGAGTCCTTGTGAATCGAGATACGAGTTGATTTTCCAATACAACGCTTGTTTACGCTCCTCCTCAGATTCAGAATTGGTGGTTCGATGAATAGGTGTTTGAGTCGCGTGCTGACCGTGTGAAGCTCTAGTGGCGGTTGTGGGAATGGTTCGTCGATTGAGGATCTTTTTCACGATCAAGTCTTCGTAAATCAAGTCACAGTGTTCCTCAAACCGTATAAAGTCAAAATTTTCCTTCTTTAGAGGACCATCTAACCTAAGAGTTGATTTCAACTCCGGGAGCATTCCCAACAACATGTGGCTGGCCAGTGTGAAATCATCGATCTCAACCTGGTCATGGTTCATAAGAGACTGGATGGATCGAGCGCGAGTGCAGAAAAAACAAAAGTCCTCGTTGTTCGACATTTGTAACGTGAGTATCTTTTCTCTGATCTTGTCGTTCCAGTCAGAAGGTAGAGCTGCCCGAAAGAGTTTTTCTTTAAAGTTGTCCCACGATATCTTGCTGAAGTTATCAATATTGTGGGCCCAAAACGCTTGGAGATTGGTTTCCAGTAAGTACAAGCCGGTGAGTATAATTTGGTCCTCGTCTTTATTGACTTGTTTGACCATGAAAAAGATCTTCAGGGAGGTAAACCACTTCAGGAACGCTTCTACATCCCGGTATGGACCCTTGAATTGCAGTCCATCCGATGACTTGAATTTAGCAAGATCAAGTCCTCGGGAAACTCCTTCATGAGTCGTAGGAGCTGGTGATTGCGTCGACGCGTTCATCTGCATCTGGAGTAGTTTCTCCTCAAATCCAGCGATTCGCTTTGCCGCTTCATGTGCAGCTACGATCCGCTCTTCTTCCAAACGTGCATTGCGTTCTGCTGCCTCATTAGCCGCTTTGACGCCTGCTGCTTGTGCCAATAGCATAGCACGTAGCAGATCGTTGGTCGAAGTTGGATTCAAAGGCGAATCATCCGTTTGGCCCGTCATCCCGTCAACTTTTGGTAATAGGGATGAAGAAGGTGAGGGTGGTCGTTTAGATCTGATGTTTAAATCGCGGTGGATGTGTTCTTCCTCTCGTTGTAGAAGCGATAAAGGAGAACGACGATGTGAAAGAGGAGAAGTGGGGAAGGTTCCGGGTAAGGAGGATGCAGTACGTGACGACGAGGCCTGTACAGCTGGGTTATATGGTTTAGCTGTCGCCGGGATCGGTTTAGACGGAACGCTTGCCGCAAGAACCTTATCGTGGGTATATCTTCCCAACTCTTCAAAGGAACGGTGTTGGAACTGTGGGGGTAGTGTATTCGATCTTCTGATTAAGGTTTCTGGATCGTCCACCCAAGACATGAGATCAGTGGAATCGCTGCGAGTCGAAACCGGCGGGGTCATAAATGGTATAGCTCTTGATGTACGAAATCGAAGTGTGAAGATGGATCTTCAAGGTATTGAGTAAGTAGTTGAAATAAGGTTGGATCTTGAATATCCGGGGTGCTTTTAAGAACTATGTTCTTCTGAAGGAATCTGAAGTAGTCGATACCGGTATTGGTTTGAGAAAAAAAAAGTGTAAAGGACTTAAGATGTCCTCACTTCGAAGGAGTCTCACGGAGGGAACTGAGGGTCTGATGCCACAAGGGACTTTATGCTTCTAGAACCAAAGTAGATATGATTGAATTATTTCTAGAAGCTGGCTCCAAAGGAATATAATACGAGATCAGTCTCGAGTTCCCTCTAACGGGACTAAACAATATAAGTTGTGTAATAAGAGAAATTGATATAATTAGAAATAAGAGAAATGAGTTTGCTAACCTGGCTCCAAAGGAATAGAATACGAGATCAGTCTCGAGTTCCCTAAGGAGCCATTCCGTAAGCGTGGCACTCGATGGATATATGAAAAACTACTAAGTGTAAGTCTAAGGGCTAGGTATGTATGATATGTGTACTCAATGTAATGTTGTGATGATGTATATATATGCATCATTACACTATTCGCCACCGAAAACTTTGAATCCTATAATGGAAATACTCGGCAATCTTCAATTCACTCCAATCATCTCAGCCCAGGAAGAGATATCGCTGAATCCTTCAACAACCATCGCCTGATTAGATCAGTAACTGCAGCGTGCCTTAATTACAACAATCATTTACAAACGTACATTCAGGCAGGTCCAAAAGTCGTGGCGCTCTTCAAGACCAACATTTTATTTCAGAAGGCGTTAGGCTATAATTCATCCTGGAATCACGAAGGACATTTCAAAGTAGGAAGTAAGTTTTTGACCAGTTTAACAATATTTATTACAATACTTTCAATATGTCTTATGTCTCCAATGATCTTCATGAATTTGAAATGTAGAAAATCACAAGACGCAGCCATCAAGTGCAGAGACAATTATTCCAAAAGAGATTTTAGACGCCTTTTGCTCAAAAACCTGGAAGGTCTTGGATTCACTCACACTCAAAAATGGGCAAAAAATCAGAGAGCACGACTTTCTTTTGGTAATGTGCATCTTTATCTATTCTTGAATTGTCACTCATCAAAGATTGCTTCCTTACTTCAGGCTCAATCAACACACTTTCGGACACTTTCAGGCACCGGAAGGATGATTGGAAGAGTCAAGAGAATGTGGGGCGCGGTTGAATGTGCACCTCAACAGTGCAAGATTGAAATATCAAGGTGTAAGACAGGTCCAGTATGCCAATTCTATGGTATGCGCGAGGTGGAAGAGACTCTGAATGTCGTCTGGATCAATCCGGCGGTAAGATTTTTGTTCAAAGGTTTGCATTGATTTTGACACTGACAATATTCCTGTTATATTACTCAGGACATTGAAGGTGTCCTCAACATCCAACACAATTGCCACAAAAGTGGTTGTACAATTCAAAAAACAAGGCCAATTATGACTGAGAGGCGAGTCTTGAAGAAAACGGAGCACGTGGTAGTCCATTTGGACACCAGAACCTTTGTCCTCAACGCTGGGGCATTCTATTCCGCTGAGCTTCATCAATTTTGGGCAGACATCAACTTTATTGATGTCATTCCTGTAGCTTGGCGTAGTGCGCTGAATACCGGACCAAAAAATTGGAAAGACACATTGAAAGAAAATCAAGACAAGAAGGATCGCAACAGTCAAAAAGCAAAAGATCGAGAGCTTGCAAAACACAGTGGGCAGCCGAGTAAGAAAAGGAAATACAAGGGTCAAACCGCAAACAAAAACACAGAGTCTAATGGCCGGGCGGTGGCTGGACCATCACATTAGCGTCAAGCATCAAGCAGTTTTTGTACTCCATCTTTTTCTTTCTCAATTCTTTATCAGAATTTCATCATTCTCTTCTTTCATCTTGGTTTTCATTTTTGCAGAGGAATTGATGTTTTGTCCCTCCTCGGCCTCTTCTTCTGGAGTTTCCTCACAGGAAACTCCATAGACCCAATCTTCATCTTCGGGTTCCACAAAGCCATTGATATAATCATTAAGGCAGTAGCCTGCACGCCCATAAGGGTTTGAATAAGGGCTCCAGCTACCGGTTGAGATGACCACATCTCTTGACGGTTCCCTTCAAGACTCGAGGTAATCATAAATTGCATCCAGTTCCTCAGATTCAGGGATACAGAAGCGTCTATCTGGAAATTCAAAAGGCAATGTCATGAAGGTCAGAAAGGGAACGGTATTGAAAAAATGTAATGAAGATGAAAAAGTACAAACGAAGATGAAACTTGCCAGGTATATATTCCTGATTGTTCTGAATCTGACAGGCTTCCAATGCCTCTGGACCAGGTCTAGCTGGATAAATTGTAAAGTCAAAATAAGACTATCAGAATAAAGCAAACCAAACCAAAACAAGAGACAAAAAAGCAAAGTTACCAGGGTTTATTCCCACTGGTTCTTCAATATTTTTCTTAGCGTCTGATGAGTTGGCAGTCATGGTTGTACGTGTGAGAAGGAACTCGTTCTTGGTGTGATTGATAAGAACAGAAGAACACTCAGAAGGCCTTTCAATTTAAGGAATCCATTCAAACAAAAGTGTTCTGATAAGGATATCACTGATCAAGTCAGTCAGTGAGTCATGGTGTCTTCCTTTCCTTGATATCATGACCGCTTGTGATATCAGATATCATTATCGCTGCCTTTCACGGCACTGATCTGTCTTCACCGTTGTTCTTGTTGATTCTCAATTTGTATCTCGCCACATTCACTCACATGTCTCAAGGCCGCTTCCTTTTGATATCATGACTGCTTATGATATAAGATATCATTTCTTCCTTTAAAGATATCATCTCGGGTGATGAACCTTGAACGTTAAATCATGAATCGTCATCGAATGAACTGATGAAGAGATCAAAATTTTCAAGTTTTAATATTCCATTGACAAACACAGTATTTTGGAAACCTCTCGGGTTGTTCACAATTCGACTCTGAGAGGATTTCAGCATGTTTTATAACTTTGATTGTTACAATCACATTAATGAGGTTGGACTTCTCGAGTAATTTGTTGATTTGGACTCCTCGCCACTTTAAATGTGTCATATCGTCATTTATCTGAATTCACATATTTCCAGCCATTTTCATTCAAGACCCAGTTGCTGTATCCTTCATTTTTATTGTTTTCTAATCAAATAAATCATTGTTGTGTCCGTTTCTTTATCCTGTCTCCATCCATTTCCAGACTTGTGTGATCAGGAAGTAAAGTTCATTTGGAGACTTCTCATTTTTGTTGATTTAGTCAGCTTCCACACCGTCTGTCACAAAGGCCTGAGTGACAGCTCGGCCACCGCACTGTTTTTGCTGCCTTTCCCTGCACTCCTTGGTCTTCACCGTTGTTCTTCAGACTTCTTATTTCCCCACGTTCACTCAGCATCACCACCATGTCTCAAGGCCGCTTTTTCCCCATGCCACCAAAGAAATCGACGAAATCGACTCATCAAGCAACTCCCTTGAAAGCTCCGGACGGAGAGATACACTTGACTTCAGGATCCAAAGCCCCTGCTTCCACTTCCCATCGATATCAAGAGTCAACTTCCAGAACCCCAATTGTAGGCCGCCGTACTTTGCGTGAGCGACCCAAACCAACCTTATCAAAGAAACCAGTGATCAGTAAGCGTAAGGCGCCTCCGGCTTTGCAAGATACTACTTCGAATAAAAAAGTGCAACCAAATAACAAAGGTAAATCGAAACCGAAGACAGCCCAAAGCCGCCCGCCTCCTTCGAAGGAGCTGTCACCTCCGTCAGAAAATCCATTTGATCCCAAAGATTTGGATCAATTTCTTCCCCTTGGACCAGAACCACCACCAAGAAACTTGAGTATGTGTAAGTCAAATGATCTCGAATCAATTTATTTCAGCTTTTCAATCCTGTATTAATCACTTCTATCTCACTTAGGCCATGAATACGGCGAAAGCGATTACGAGAACGACACCGAGCCCATTGCCAACATCAACAACACCAACACCAACAACAGTCGCAATTACACGACCCTCCATCCCCCAAAGTTTGTTCCCCTGCAGGGATCTAGATTACAAACTTTTAATCGATACTCTAATCGCGCTGATCTCGACGACCATCACCTCGCCATGGGCCGACAGTTGTGTAGTGTGAGTGGGTTTAGTGTCTTTCTTTTCTCACTTTCACTGACTCAGGTTCCATTCGGCAGGCTTCTACGACTGAAGAGCAATTCATGGCCTATATGTCACTTGCTCTATCCAATTGACAACACATGACAACCATCCACAACGATCTTACACGTCAGATTACCGAAGTTCGGAAGCTCGCGACGTCCAAATCTACTGCTGTTGGAACTCCGGCTGCAGCTGCACCCTGGCTTTCAAAGGACGACTCTGCTGAGCTACGAGTAAGATTCCAGTTTATCATCAACCATCAAGCGAAATCAACTGACATTATCATCTTCAGAAATCGATTCGCCAGATCGCCACGAAGAATATCTTGTGAGGTGACTTGCAGGCCTACACTGCAACCAAAGACAAGATGGGCGACAAGCTCACCCTCCCTCTGTCTCTATAAGCTACAGTCATGGTAAGCATTTTCCTTTCTCTCTCTCTCTCTTACGAGTCCTATTACTGAAACCAGAAATAGGATGGCATTATGTCCAATCCTGATAAATGGAAAAAACGTTTGCTTCCACGTGGATATGGCAAGAACCCAAAAGTGGCGGATGCTAAATCTCTCAACACCTTGGTCAATGTTGTGTTGAAGGAAGTACGCAAAGAATTTGAAACCATTGCAAGTCTTTTTCTGATTTCCTTAATTTATTAATTACTCTAAAGATTTGTATCTCTGACTTTTCAGCTTCTCGAGAATATACATTTACCAGGCCAAACTGGCAGCACAGGCACTGGTGCCATACCCACACTCAATGGGGTCGTGGCCAGGGTAAGTTTCTGTTACTATACTTACTCTTCGCTCACATCAAGCTGAACTTTAATCGATATAGCTTCACGATAAAGAATTTGGACAAGTCGGCGGCCGTGTACCTGTTTGTGACGAGATCTTTGAACAGGTGGGACATCTTCAAAAGGCTCGTTACGCTTACATTGTACGCTCTTCTCTTGACATTTTCCATTTTCAATACAATTAAATATGTTTATTATTCTTTTCAGCGGATGCAAGCCTGCCATTGGGGCTTTTACAAGGCGGATTACAAAGACGGTGCAACCTTGTGGGGGATTGTGGATGAGAAACTAGAGTATTTGCGATCACGATCCAGCAGGTATCGACATGCGTAAGTTTGGTCTTGTCTTTGATAGATTTTGCATCATACTCATTTGATCTGCAACAGGTTCGCCATCCTGTGCTTGTCAGAAGACTTGGAGGTATTTGGCAATAATAAGCCTTTGTCAGTAGTCAGACCTCTCACATCATTTCCGGTACCGGACGAGGCTTCAATTTGTGTTATGGTGAGAAATATCAATGAAACGTGGGGCTCGGAGGTTCCAGAGGACGAGTTGCTTCACAAACAAGACGAAAGGCAGGCTGAGAAGGAGGATGATAATGACAATATTGACAATATTGACAAGAATGATGAAGAAGAAGAAGAAGAGGATGAGAAAGAAGAAGAAGAAGAAGAGGATGAGAAAGAAGAAGAAGAAGAAGAAGAAGAAGAAGAGGATGAGAATGATGATGAAGAAGAAGAAGATTAGGATTAGTATTAGTATTTACGGCATATGAGATTGGTTGTTGGTCGACAAAGGTGATTACAACAACAATGATTTCTGTCTTATCTTTGTGTGTGTGTGTGTGTGTGTGTATTAGATCCATGATGTATAGTTTCAAATTTTAGTTTTCATTCTTTTCATCCTGTCTGTCTGTTCTGTCTGTAGCTGCCTCCCATTGTATTTGTGAAAATCAGCGGCTTTATGCCATGTCGTGTATCTTTCATAGCCCCAAAAATGAGAACCAGAACCAACAAAACTGCCTGCTGGCTTTGCCTGTCGTAATCAGTGTCTAAACGGGATTTAAGCCGTGTTTGGAACCGGGTTCAAACCAATGCTGTACCCACAGTTGATACACGGATTGGCGTAGCGTAGTTGACCAACCGTATCTGCCGCACCAGGCATTTCGGTTGGTCAACTGAAAAAGACCCCCGGTTTGTCAACCGCTTTCAGGCCTTCGTGGTGTAGCCAAGACAAACAATGTGGAAGCCATCATGTTGTGTGTGTTTTAATTCCTCATTACCACTTACATTGAGGATTCTCTTTACCCTCATGATGACCATATACAAATTGTAGAGGATCCCAAACTCGGGTTCATTCCACTTTTGGATCCCATTCTCAAAGGAAATTAAAACATACTCCCACCCACCTCTCTCTTATAATCTAATTTGTGATACTTTTGTAGGCCGCGCCATACCGGCCCTCTTTTTTAATACCTTTGAGTCCTTGCTTTATGTACCTAAAAACTATTCTACCATAGTCTTTTTTTATCCATACATTGCAACCAGGCCTCCACGCCCCAATTCTGGCTAAACTCTTTCATCGTGAGTTTACCTCAGATCCCCTCGAAGTACCCATTAAGATATCCTTCGCAGGTCAATGCGCTTTGCCGGGGTGCTATGTAACCCATGCTTGATTTATATATGAAAATCAAAAAACTTGCTTCGTTATTTGGGTGAAGAAAATAATCCACAAGAAAGATGACGCAAGGAATTTAAAACAGTTGATGTAATGAGAATTTTAGACCGCACAGCAAATGAAAAGAAGGCGATGAATCAATTTATCATTTATCACTGGTTTTTTTTCTTGCTGTTCGAATTCCTTCACAGCTTAAATCACCTATTGTTCAGGAAATTGGCTTAAGGATATACATTGCTTAAGCCGGACTGATTTATCCAAGTAGTTCAAGAATTTAAGCAATTCCAACGAGTTCTCAAAGGTTGAGATGGCATAATGTTTGCAGACGTAAGTGATGTACACATTACTGGAAGTCCAACCAAAGGATGTGTGTGTAGTGAGTGAAGTGAAGTGATTGGTATAAAGGAGTTGGAGAATTTGATTGGGGATAGAACCAAGTGCTTAAGTACTTAATTGAGTTAAGTGTTTAAGATTGATTGATTGGGGTTGGTTGGTTGAGATGAAATGGTTTTTGATTTGAATCAGTTGACCAGTTCTCATTCTCATTCCAACTCAATTCATGGAACCCACTACTACTAATCATCATCATCATCATGGACCTTCAATCATAAATTTGTTACAAAGACAACAAGAACTAAATCAACTATTAAATCGACAAAGAGCAAGACTTAGACAACAACAACTGTCTTCCTTCACCATGGATCAAAGAACATCTGAACTCAATCCACTCAATCAATCATCTGAATCTTCACCTCCCAATCCAATTCAAACTATCAGAAACTCAGTCTCTATGTTTGGACCTCATGCTAGAGCTATTGAAGATTTCACAAGAAGAAGAAGAGAAATCAGACCACCATCTCAATTAAGATCACAAGATCGACTTTCTCCTGAACCAGAAACGAGTGCAGCAGAACGTTCGATATCGATTTATGAAAGAAATGCAAGATTAAGAGAAGAATTTAGTCAAAGACAAGAAGCTAGACGAAATCCTCAATCTCAAACTTCAATTCCTTCTCAATTCTTACAATTCCTTCAACCTACAAGTTCAACATCACAAACTCAATCAGAAGAAGAAACTCCTTCGATCAACCATCGACCAATTTCACCTCCTATTCATTTACCACCTACACCACCCACCAATCGAGTCAATCTCAATCAAAGACCATCATCCACTTCACAAGGTCCTTATCTTTTCAATGGTCATTTTCAAGATCCACAAAACAATCTGATGTCAGTTAATCTTAATGATCTGAGTAGACCTTCATCAGTATCAGATTCGTCAGATGATTCAAATCAACAAACTACAGAAACATCTGATTTATTAAACGATTCTGAATCGGATCAAAACGCTGCTCTGTTTTTCACTTCATTACAAAATGGTCATCAATCTAGGATTAGAAGAGGTAGAGATACTAGTTCAATCGATAACGTTGATTTAGGAAACGATCCAGATCCTTTATTGGTAGAAGCAGCTGCTCATCATAACAGTATGACTATAGCTGAAGCTTTAGGATTACCAACTCCTTATGATGATCTTCCTGAACGTCAAGCTCATGATGAATCATCACGATTCTCTAGGCGAGCATCAAATCTGACTGGATTGATTATGGACTCAAATCCAATTACAACAGATCGACTTGATAATACGGTTGAACAACCTTCAGATGTTAGCATGAGCTTATTCGAATCTTTTGACAGACCAGAACCTAATCCATCCACTGAAAATCAAGACGTCTTACCAAGAAGATCTACTACTCAAACTACAAATCTTGTTTCAAATCCTCAATCAAGATCATCAGGAGAGTCGAATGAACGACCTAATCAAATCACTCAATTATCCAATAACAGAAGAAGAAGATTGTTGATTAATAATGAAACAACTGATTGGAGACATGCATTAGTGGAACAGATGCATAATGATTTTGATGCTGGTCTAGATAGAACGATGGCAGTGAACCGATTACGTCAACTTACCATGAACCATCATCATCCTTCTGTCCAGAATCAAAACCATCAAAACCCTCCCACTTCACTTTCAGCTGAACCTGTTCGACGTAATTTAGTAGGCACCTTACGTAACATCCGATCACAACGTCAAGCTAATAATAATTTGAATCGTGGGATCCATCAAGGATCTAATCCGACTTCTTTATCAGATCCGATCTCTAGATCTTCAATTCAAGTTTATTTAGTTTACTGTGGTGCACCTCAAGCTGATCGTTCAATCTTCTCACGTCCTCAAACTTTACCCAAAGGATTCCAATTGGCAAATCCGAGTACTTCAAGCTCATCAAGAACCCGTTCATCATCTTTATCAAGAGGAATCACCCAAGGATGTGGAAAACTCATCACGATCCGATCTATCAATCCATCACATGCAGCACGTAAACCGATTCCCAATGGGATGTTTAAAACTCCTATCGAAAATGTTTTGTCATCTGATTCCTATCCTATTTCTCAATCCGTTGGAATTGTTGATCATGAATCTAGATTAGAATTCGAAAATGATCCTTCTAATCCATGTATTAAAGATGATGAAAGTGATCAACAAGATAGGTTTGTTTGTTATTGTACTAAAGAATATATCGGTTGTCTTTCTTGGTAAGTTTTCAATCATCATTTTGTTTTGTTTTAGATTCTGGTTCTAATCTGTTTTTTTTGGGGGTGTAGTGGTCATATCGTTGGACATTGGGTTAAAGTTCATTGTTTTTATTGTGAAAGATGGTCATCAACTCAACATCGATTTTTTTATTATCTCAAAAGAATTACATATATACCTAGATACGAGAAAGGAATGATTGCAAACTTTATTCCAACCAATCGAACATTTTCATTTTATTCACAACAAAGACAACAAGGACATCATAATAAGAAAGCACAATTATTACAAGCTAAACAGATGGTTTATGAAAAAGATTTGAGAGATGGATATATCGGATCAGAAGAAGATTGGAAAGATAGAAGTCAAGATGAGAATGAGAATGAGAATGGGAATAGGAATGAAGAAGGAGGTTTGTTAGATGATATCATGGGTTATAGTACTGCTAATACGATGACCCAAAGAATGAGAAGTTCGATTCTGGATTCAAGTTTAGTTGACTTGAATGATCTGAGAGCATCCGTTGATTTTGCTTCGTATCAATCCACTCAATCATCACCAAGACATAGGTTTTTAGGTAGAAGACTTTTGAATACAGCCATGATTTCTAATTCGATGATTCCTACTGAAACTGTTTCGACTAGAACTCCTTCAAGACTTGTTGGAGAAGTTAGACAGATTCATAATAGACGTTGGTCTGCTTTAGGACCTGAGGTCGAAAGGAATGAAGGGTCTAGAGATTTAGTTAGAAGTAGAGCTATTAGATTATCGAATTATAGGTTTGAAAGTAGTCCCAACTTGGATACCAATTTACAACAAGCTGATGCAGAAGAAGAAGAAGACCGAGAAGGAGAGATGGTTCCAGGTTTGAATCCCACTTCATTGAATACTACTTCGAATACTACTAGAAGATCTTCAAGAGTTTCGAATTCACCTATTACCAATCCAAGTTTAAATCCTAGAGCCGATTCACTTGATCTTGATGGAATTCCCATAAGAGATTCAAGACCTAGGTTAAATAGAATGATCAGATCATCATCCATTTCATTAGAAACTTCACAAAGCAGAGAAGAAAGATTAGAAGAAAACGAATTGAATGAATTGATTGATATGGGAGAGGTTAGATCTAATAGGAATGTAGAAGAAGCAGAAGATGATGAAAGAAGTCGGATCGTTAGGATTGATAGTATTCAGAATGGAAGAAGAAGAAGAGGTGGGAATGAAGAAGAAGTGGAAGAAGATGAAAGTTTGAGAAGTAGAAGTAGTAGAAGAAGAAGGATTCATGGGCTGGATTTGGAGCAAGATTTTTTGGTCGGAGAACAGGAGAATGATGATCATCATCATCTGGGATCTTTGTTTGGAAACTTTGAGGTTTGTGCAAGATGAAAAAAAAATACTTTATACTTATGTCTATTTGGAAGATTTGAAAAAATGGAATGGAATGGAATTGATGAAAAGAAGAAAAATGAAAGTGAAGAAGGGGATGAGGTTTTTTAATATACTTACCATCAACGCGATTTTTTTTTTTTGGAAAAAATCGAATTGTTCAAAATTAATAGTTGTGGAATTTATGACAGAAAAAAGATAATTGAAAGGTTTGTATAAGAAGAAAGAAATGGGTTTTTTTGTATTGTTTTTTTTACGTTTTGGTTGATTTGATTATGAAGAAAAAAAAGAAAAAAGAAAAAGAAAGAGGATTAATATGAATTCTGTGTTTTGTTTTTTTGAATGTATCATTGAAAGAGTTTTAAAGTTTTGAAAAAAAAGAATATAGATCTGTGATTTTTTGTTTGAAAAATTGAAAGAAGTTGATTTTTGTTTGTATTTTGTGAAGAGAATGGATTTGAGAGAAAACACGAAAGGAAAAAAAACAGTTTGGCTTGTTTTATTATCTTGATCCACTTATAGGAAAACTTGTCTTTGACCGTATTGAACTTAAAGGTAGTATTCTTTTTTGGTTTTTGGTTTTTTTTCTGGTAAGAATAAATGAGTTTGAATTCTATGTAATGTTGTATTTTGAAAATCAAAATTGAAGAAGTTAGTTTAAATTTAATATATCAGTTTAAAAGGTGTTCCTCTCCCATGACACACAGAAAAAAGAAAATGAAAAAAATGGTTTGGTTGAATGAAGTTCTGTTTATTTTCTTAAAAAATACATCAGTTTCATAGACATTTCTTTCCACAATAAAAAAAACAATTCTTTTGTTTATTCTTCAACTTCTTTTTTTTTGTTTTTCAAAAGAAAAATTGTTTTTTTTTTTGAAAGAAGCTTTGAAATTCTTATTACACAATCCAGAAAAGTCCTTGTGATGGTATTTTTTGGTCTCACTAACACTAGCTTTGTGATATGAATGGCTTTTATTTCAACCTTATTTTTCTAGGGTATAGCTTGTGTAAACCTTTTTTTTAAATTGATGTTTGAATCTTAAACTTTATAAATACAAATCATTTTGTCATTTCCTGAAAGTATTCATTCTTCCTGTGGCATATGAATTCTGTTTAGATTATTTCAGACTTCATAAATGGATTGAGGGGGGGATGTGGTGATGTGTGAAAGAATCAAAGATGAGAATATATTTGGTTTTTGTAATTGTTATGATCAAGTGATATTGTGAAAAGAATGATTGATTCACAATTGGGTACCTTCAATTCAATATTACCCTGTTTTTTTAGCTGATTTGATAGAGTTAAGGATCATCAAAAGAGTTGGTGTCAGCAAATTTATAAATCACACAATGCACTTCAATAGTGGCTCTCAAACCTGCCCCGGTTATAGGAAAAAGCACCAGACCTTTTTTCCACAGAGATCAGCCACTCTACTTGATAAACCAGATATCTACCTGAAAGAGATAGGCCAGCATATGTGAAGATTTTGCACATGAAGTACATGATATGGGTCCACAAGTCTCTTATCATGGGGAAATTGTTTACATGTTCCCTTTTGGATATGAGATGTTTTTACTCTTAAACCAAATGACCATCATGATACAAACCGTAAGACAACTTGATTAAGAAGTATAAATGATGATTATAGACCAGAAAACAAAAAATTCTATACACATGACTAGAAGACCAAGATATTTCAATTTCTCAACTTGAAGTAATTTGATCCCAGAATGATGTATGAATAAGAAAGTATTCCACTCCAAGCTCACCTTTGATATCAGGTGTCAAGACTCCTAGTAGGCACAGATGATTCAACCCTTACAAACCAAACCATCAAAACCTTTTGTTTGCATCATTTAAATACTACATACAATATACATCATAAAAAGCAAAGAAAAGAAAAAAAAACTTAAGTACATTTTTTGAATTTGCATTTCTTAATTCTGAATAATTTATTTTTTCTCAACCAATCCAATCCATGAACTACATAACTTTAAGAGATCGAATCGAATCGAATTTTAATGTTTAGTTTTTTTACTTGAAATTAATGATGAATCTCTAAGATGACTACTTTTCCTTTTAGTTTTCGTTTTTGATTTCATTCGATTCGAATCATAACTACGAAAAGAAGTCACACTAGTAGCTGGACTATTACTTTGACTCATTCTTCTTGATCTTCTACCTCTTTCAATCTCATCTTCATCTTCATTTTCACCTTCAATTTTCTTTCCATTTGACAGTGGTAATGGCATAAGCACTTCAACTTGTCCTTCATGAATCAATCCTAATCCAACTAATCTGATCAATAACTTCATCATCTCTTCATTCACTACCATCTCTTCTGGTTCTTGTTCTTCTCCTTCAATCATCTCATTCGATGTCCCTCCTCCTTCATTCACTCTTTTCCCATCGGTTCCAATCTTAAAACTTCTAGATTGTTCTTCAACAGTCGCATCTCCTACTTCTTCTACTCCTTCTTCTACCATCAAGTTTTTCACATCTTCATCTCCCATAGCACATTGTGGAACCAAAAAAGTATCTAATTTCACCTCATCCCTTAACCTTTCACTCAACTTTGTAAATTTGATTCTCACATAATGACAATGTGATCTAGTCACAGGTGGTTGAGAACTCGGAAGTGGTCTTCCTTCAAGTTCAGATCGTCGACGACGTCCACCACGTGTTGACCCAGGCTTCGATTTCGCTTTCATCTCCGTTTGTTCTAAAGGCATCGGTTCTTTCAAAGGTACATTCAGAGTAGGCAGTAACGTACTAGAAGAATGATGTTGATGTAATCTTCTTCTAGGAGCTAGCTCATCATTACTTCGTTGTAAAATCAACCCAGGAACATTTAATTGAAGTTCAGCCGAAAGTTGTGAAGCGATATTCGTATCTCCTCCAGGAACAGCTCCTAAGGTTTGTTTTTTACTAGATTGACCGATATCCGATGGTTCAGAAGCGGTCGAGGATGGTTTTTTGTTAAGAATCGGAGTTGCAGGAATAGCAGGAGGACTGGACATTCTAGTAGTCGGGTTTGATTTCCTACCCTTTCCTTTTCCCGTCTTCTTAGTCGGCAAAGGCGATACTGTTACTTCTTCCTCAGGAATATCTACCATGGTTGAGTTATCCACCAGATTAGTTGGACCAGGAGCAGGACTTGTACGAGGTGAGCCAAACCTTGATGGACGAGATCGAGGTGAGCGAGATAGTCGAGCTAGAGGTGAGCGCGATGGTCGAGACAGAGGTGAACGAGAAGGAGGTTTAGGTGAAGCGGATGTTAGCCTATTGGAAGCTGCTCTTCGCATCTGACGGGTCTGAGATCCAATTAAATCTTCCGGTTCCTCCTCCTCCGTCATATTTGACTCAACAACTGATCCATCATCAGTTGGAACATTGGTACTCTGTCGGGATCGAGTGATATAAACCTTTCTGGGTGTGTGTATCACAGATGAACTACCATCCTTGGATTTTGGTGGCCCTTCAACTACACCTTCGTTTTTCGGAGAGGCTGAAGCGATTGGGTGTGCTTGTGTAGAAGGTTGCTTCGCTCGCTTTCGTTTTTGTAAAGTTGACTTGAGGTCTGCTTCCAATTGCAGCTCTCGAGCACGTTCCGTGGCGATCTCCTTGGCCGTTACACTATAATTAGCATCCATGTTTTTGGAAGCAGCACTTTTGCGGCCTTTTGGTCTTCCCCGCTTAGCTTTTTCACCTGTCATCGGTTGCGACATACTTTCGTCCGAACCGTCATGGATGACGTTAGTCGACGGTGAACCGGACACGGCACTGTCATGGGATGCTTTCTTTGAGCTTAGGACGTCTGGGATGGGGAGGTCCGCGCTTTCAGCAGGTAGCGCGGAGAGCGGGGAAGATACCAAACTCGCCGAAACACCAACCTGTGTACAAGGCACACCAAAAATCAGTAAACATGGCTGATGCTGCTTCAAAATGTCAAATCTTACCATCGAAGACGACTCTGCTTGTTTGACCTCGTAAACTCCCTTATCTTGGTCTGCCACGCCGTGGTTGGTACCTTCGGCATCTAACAGTTGTGTTCCATTGTTAGAAGGTTCGATACGAATTGGGTTGGCACCTAGATTGGCCTCAGCAGATGAAGTTGAAGAGTTGCCGATGTTCATCGGATTCAAAAATTCCGTAGGCCCTGACATCGAAGTCAATGAAGGACTGAAGAAAGCTTTAGTAGCAGTTGTAGGTTGAGGAGATCCAGCAGGCTGCGCGACCACACTCGATTCACGTGAAGGATGGTTGCCATTGTCGGGATCTAAGGCCAGTTGGGCGGACTGAATATCTTCTAATTGAATAGTAGGAATCGTACTTGCTGCCGGTGGCATACTAGGATCAGGTAACTTTTCACTCGCCTCCACTTGACTTAGATCCTCTGAGGCCGTACTGCATTGGTGTGGCAATCCGGCCACATTGATTTCGCACTCGGGCATCAGCGTCGACTTGGGCGGACTTGGTGAGCCTGCTGCCTGTACCACCACACTCGACTCTCTTGACTGACTGTTAATCGAGGTCAAGTAAGGGGTGGGGATATCATCCAGTCTGATCGCTTCGCCTGTAGTTGGAGCCGGTGTTCTACCCGGATCAGGTAAAACAGGACGTCCCAAAGGCTCTGGAACACTGGTCGATTCATCGGAGGGATTCGGGTCGACTACTGGTGGTAAGGACGCGAGTGAGAACACATCGCTGGGTGGAGGGGGATCGAGAGGGTTGAGGACGTTGTCATCATTTGAGCCAGGTGCGTTATAGAAATCCGCCGTCTCTTGAATATGAGGTAGACCGGGAGCATTGACTTGCTCTTTCGTGATTGGAGCACTACGTTGGCGAGTGGAGGTAGAAGGAGATGGTGGTTCAGCATGTGTGCTAGAATCAATAGATGAGCGCCTATTGATCTGATTGGTTAAACCGAGAGCGGCAGTAGGAGCTCCCATCGAAGCACTAGGTAGAGGAGGAGGAGGGGCAACAGACGCTGGAGCCGAAATAGTATCACTAGAAGCTATTGAAGATGGAGCAGAAGATGTGACAAATGATGCAGGACCTAATGAGGTGAATCTTTCTGATAATTCTGAAGGTGTCCTTTGGCCTTGAGTCGTACTAGCCAGTGGCGTGGGGAGTTCATCAGTCCGATGTGTTGATACACGTGTCTCGCTGCTTATGCTCTTTTCTGCGTCCTCGTCGCCGGTGTCATCGACCCAATCCATATGAGACGCAGGAGTTACTTCAAGAAGCGGCGAGTCAGCAAATGTGACAGCATTGACATGCCCCCTGCTAGAGCTCGGTCGCTGTAAGCCAAAATGTACAGCACATGAGCATACCGATGTATGTTTTCATTGAATTTAACGAAATACTGACTGATCTTCCCAAATCTTCAGCGGCTTTGGCGTCAGAATGTTGCGTGGCCTGTGTGGTCAAGATGTTTGTCAGCTGATGGAGATTCAAAAATAGTGTGCTGGGTCACAATGATACAATAAGAACATCGGCATACCAGATCAGAAGATTCTGTCTTGTCATGTACGGCTTCATTGGCTGATAACACTTCAGACATCACTTCCATAGTCAAAGGCGCTTCTGCTTTTGATATTTCAGTATTGATCGCTTCAATTGTTGACTCGATATCCCTCAAAAGTGTGCTAGGGTTACTCTGGATGATGTCTTGTTCGTCTTGACCCACCTCCTGTGCAGGAGTGTCGTGTATGACCTCTTGGGTGCCAAATACTTTTTGCATGATGTCGTTCATCGCTGCCTCGTATTCAACAGCGTTGGAATGGCTGAGCGTGGAGGGACTGAGCGCGGGCGGGCTGAGCGCTAGCATGTCAACCTCCTCGCATTGAGTTGGTCCTTCCAATCTAGACCATGAAGCTTGCTCGTTCTGGAACAAATAAATGTCTCATGATTCGGTCAGAAACAATAAAACATATCACGAAAGACTCGTACTGACATGCTCCATGACCGGCGGTGCTGGCGAGGCAATCAACTCTGCAAGAGGTTGATCCACGTCCATCGCATCAGTAGCTCGAGCCTGATCGATACTCGATTCCATAGGCTCCGTCACAAAGATTGAAGTCTCCTCCTCAGTCGAATGAAGATCTGGCAGAGACGGTACCTCAATCGGTACACCTTGTTGCATGTCCGTTCCCTCATGAATGGGATTAGCCACCGTGGATTTTCCTTTGCTGCTGGCACTTGTGTTGGCGGGTATGGAATCCAAAGAAATCGGCTGGATGAAGTTATCCAACAGCAGTTGACCTGAAGCTGGATCCGATGTAAAGTCTCCCCATAGTTGATCGATGGACGAAGCGGATGGTTCGGCCAGGATAATCGAGGGATTCTCTATTGGACGAGCACCAGAATGTGACTCATACTTTTTGTTCAAGGCAGTGACCGACATCAGCAAATGTTCAGATAGTTTACAAACAAATGGAGTATGCTAAGAAAGTGGATTACTCACGTTGGGAGCGAGCGATTGAGCTACTGTAGTCTCGGGCTCCTGTGAATGTAGCGCGTCAGAAGCGGGCTGAAGAACCCAAGCATTGGTATAAATTATAACGTGGCCATGATTGATGCTGCTTAGAGATGTATGAGATAACTTACGAGAGCATTTGTCGTTTCAACAGCCTCAAGAGCAGAGGTAGATGTCAAGCTGGTAGATGGAGTTTGAGGCGAGATCCCTAAAAGGTTATCCAGAATCTTTTGCATATTACCTTCACCAGCTTTAAGAGCTCTGGCCAAAGCTTCGTCGTTCGACGCCGCTTCTTGAGCTTCCAACTCGACCCCATGTCTTTCTGCTTGTTCAACTAACCCCTGAAACTTCGGATCAGTTTGCATTAAGCGCTCCAAGATGTTTTCTGTTTGAGAATCTGAATTAGGTAAAGACGTCAAAGATTGCATTCTGCTTTGCTCATCAGCATCCGCACCCAAGACTGGTGATACATCTACATCCGGGTACTCTTCAAGCAATTCATCGATCATGCTATACTTCTCTAGATGATCTTGACCCAATCGATGAAGCTGCAGATCACGATCCCCTTCGAATAGATCATTGTCATCGACTACATGCGTCGTCGTTCTTTGCGAATTCAGAGTAGCACAGTCTCCAGTGTCATAAATGGCGGCATGAGGATTTCCATCTTCCGCCACTGATCGCATATGATCAAGGCGTGATTCAGGCATAGCATGAGAAAGGTGGTCCACTTCGTCATCATCGTCATCGATCACAATAGGTGTTTGCTGTGTTATCTGAGTGACCGAGATATGAGATTCCGTGAGTTGATCCAGAGCAGGGTCCACCGATAACGGGTCAAATTCATTCGTCGTGTTTCGATCACCGAGGTCTTGATGGTTATTAGTCACCTCGATATGTTGTCGATAATGTACAGACGTTGAAACAATCGGACCATCAAGATCGGTTTGAAACTCTTCAGTCTTAGAGTATTCTAGGAACCCTCCTAGATAATCATCATTCTCATCTTCTAACATATCTTCCGATGTCTCACTTGATGGTCGGAATATCATTTTCCCATCTGCTGAGAAACTACCAATCCGCTGAAGACTGCGGGATGAGCTTGCCAAAAGCTGAGGTGGATCGGGCCTTGGGTCAAGTGAGTTCTCTATGACGTCATCTGTCTTCGAAAGCTGACGATCGGCCAAAGTTTCGTTTTTTGGAGGTACGGCTAGATTACGTGACTCATTGACCGGGAGAATGGTTCGAGGTTCAAAGAAGTTGACGCGTTGGGAAACAACGCCTTCTGGAATAGATTGGATACAATCCTTTGAATCCGAACTACGAATGGATGTTCGAGAAATAGGTAGAGAACCACGACGATTGACATCCTGAGTTGACAGGTTTTCTTTGGAGCTGCCGAAAAATAAAAGTCAGACTTTTCGTATAAGCAATCCATCATGAGTTATAAATAGTAAGATATGACAAACAGTGTATGTGATGATGCTTGACCAAGAGCCTGTTCGTGAGTTGGCAATGGTACAGTGATGTCCTCCATAGGACTCTCTTCCCGCGCCGGTTCGTCTTCGAGGTTTTCACTTCGCTGTGCTGATGATGAGGCTGATAGGGAAGAAGCTTCAGATTCTTCTTCAGACGCGATATTTTCATCTAGCTCTACGAATTCCTCTGAATCGGTATTCTGGCTACCTTGAGAACCGTCTGTGTCATCAGATTCTTCAATACCATGAATAGTGACATCTGCATCTTGTTCAGCTTCAAGCGCATCAAGTGGGGCAATATATGATGATGAACTGATCGAGCTTGATACTTCTACGTCCGAATCGTCATCGATTGGTATGATTTCTGGAGGATGAGATTGTGACGCGCCTGGAGGATGAGGTGAAGGGCGATGGTTTGTACTAAGATGATCCGAACGAAGGTTTTGTTGTGAAGAAGATCGGAGATTGCCATTCACAGTTCGAGATCCATTAGTCTGACCAGTAGACTCTTGATCGGAGTCTGTCTCGTCTTGTGATTCGGATACACTGAGTGATTCATCCAACTCTAAATTTTCATTCCTCTGTTCATCATCCTCTTCCTCACCCTCTTCGGTCATCCGATCTTCTTCTTCTTCTTCTTCATCCAGCGAACTCGGTTCAGGGTCATCTGATTCGATACTTGAGTCATCTTTTGATAAGTCCACTTCAATTCTTTGTCTTGACGCAACCTCCTCAACTACTTCCTCACTAGATGACGATTCTACTCTTTCCTCATCTGTATCCTGAGAAGATAAATTGTCCGAAACCGGATAATCTTTATGAGGAATCACGTCAGTCTGTTCGTGAGGTGAAGGATGATTATCAGCTGGCACACTAGCAACTTCTCCAAAGACGTCTTCTTGAGCTCTTGAAACAGATCTTGATGGTTGATTTGATTGTCTATTAGGTCCTCCCAAAAGAGCTTCCCTGATCCGACTAGTTATACTACCCACAAATCCATCAAAGTCATCGGCAGATAAAACTTGGTATGGATCTCGTAACGGTCGGCTTGAGCTGCTTGCAGAAGAAGTTTGCTGAGATAAGATGTGCTGAGGGATGAGTGATGGACCATTGATGGGATGAGAGTATCTTGGCCGGCGAGGATTTGAACCAGCCATGAAGTTGAAGATAGCTTTTGAGATGAGAAAATGAACCAAAGTGAAAGTGAAAAGTGAAAGTGACTTTGATCGAAATTGTGATGGTAAATACAGTTTCAGAAAGTTAATTGCACAAGGGTTTAACTCCTTATAAGCATCTCTCTACTCATTAATAACATATCATAGTGAATCCCTTTGAAATCACAATGGCAAATCAGCCTACGGTTTGTTTGACCTTTGTTCACCCTCTTTGTCATTAGAAGAATTGTCTTATGAGCACATTTCAGATATTTATACTGGACTCAATCCTTTACCGTATCGCTCTCTAACTACCATTTAGGAGTGTTATTTAAAGATCCTGAATCCTCAATCTTATATAGCCCATGTAAACATTTTCTATCACGTGTGAAAGTTGTGAGGAATGTCCAAGGTCATAAGGGATCTTGTTGAGTTAGGGTCGGAGTTCAAGCTTACTTGTGCATCAAAATATACTAGCTTAAGTGATTACCTTTCTAATTAAAAGATATTTGACTTGAGTAGGGCTGTGAATTTAACCGGAAGCAGCAACTGGTGATAGAACAGATGGGAGCCTATTCCGCTCCTTTCTTTCAGAAAAGTGGTATGAGGATAAAGAAGTATGATCAAGCATCACACACACGTTAAAACAAGAACATCATTTAGTAGAAGAGAACTGCTTTTGATTGAGAAGAAGATAAATGTTGGACACAGCCTCAGGTGATGATCAGATCCATACCCTTGGGAAGACTTTTACAGATTCATAGAAAACTTAAGAGAAGAATGCTGAGAGTCAAAAGCACGGGATTCAAAGGACCACAAAGAAGGCAACTTGTGAATCCCATATTCAGGTAAGAAAGATCATTCACCATTTGTTGGTTAAGCCTTCACCGGCCCACGTCATCTTTTCGAGCATAGACATATGTAGAGTTTCTTGAACAAAAGCGTCCGTACAAAAACCCACTCATACTATCAAGACAAACACCAAAGGGTATAGTCAAAAAAGGAAAAGAATCCCTCAAACAATCCGATGATCTCTCAAAACCAAGATTGAGAAGTATCATCCTAGGGTATACTTAACCATCATTGACCAAGCCATCCTCTAGAAAGCAAAAATCGACCTATCTTTCCTATTCCAAACCCAATAAGAACTCTAACCAATGATCCTAGAAGACTAAACCCAGGCATGAATGGTAATAGTATTCCAACCACTCCTGTGTCTGATGAAAAATTATCTTCTTGTCTATGTGAAGTAACAAGAAAAGGTAACATGAGATCCAACTAGTAAAACCACATTTCGGGTTTTTCTTTTGTGTCAGTTTAAAGGTTGGATAATGCTTACTTTCGAATTCGGTATTTTCGATCTGTACCTTGTACTAGATGTAGACGAACAAGTAAACGAATTGATACACGGCTACAACGGTATGAGCAAAGCCTAGTATTCATGTGTTCGGTCAAATCTAAGTTGAGGATTTCGTAAAGAACCATCAATTAAAAACGACAATCATGGAGATCATTCTTGTCTGTTGATAAAGTTTTGATACGTACCAATGGTGATTTGAGTTTTATCTTCGTTGAACATCACCGCATGAAAATCAATCTTTTGGTTCACAGTCTGTACTCGACTGCAAGGTCAAACAAGTGGAATGAACTCGTGAGCCACACCAACATAAAAAATATTGAAAAGAGATGGTAAGTCAGGCTTACACTATCTTGTATATTCCCTTAATGGCTTCTCGACCTTTGGCCACGAGAAAAGGGTGACGTAAGACCGCATCCTCGGTGAAGTATCTTTGTATTAGATTTCATCATTAGGTCATATTAGAAAGTGATATAGGTAGGCAGATGAGAAACCAACTTCTCGACATTCGCGGCCAAGACTGAAGCAGGGTAAGGCTCAGTCACTGATCTGATGACCTCTTCGACCTATAGTAATACTCAAAGTGTAGATTTGAAGTTTTATTAGTTATGAGTCTTTGAGCTACCATTATCAAAGATATATCTATGGTCAGAACTGACTTCTGCAACTGGATTATCCATTTGTAAACTGGTATTTGGTGTGGTATAAACAATAGGCTTAGGGGTAAATGATTGACAATGAGTGTGGGGGTGAAGGTAAACTTGAAGATTCCAATCTTTTTGTGTTTTCTATACTACTGCTCGATTATTGGTCGAGTTGAAACTTCGATTTGAAGCTCATAGGATATGATAGCCTGAGCATCGACCCAATTGGTTAACCCGAGGTCTTGCGATGGCTTTTGCTGGATGGTCGTTAGGGCTCACAGCCGGCTGAGATACCTGAACGAAGTGAGGGTTCAGTCCGTGCTACTGGAAAGGCGAAAATAAAACAATCTATGTGTTCGCAAAATACGGAACACATTAGTGATTTGGTATCTATGTCAAGGCGGATGGTGTTGGTGCGTTGGGAAAAAGCATGCCCTAGCATGGCTACTTCGAGCTTTAGGTACACGAAAATTTTGTTCGGTCATATTCAGTTTGTGTATATGCTCGGCTTTGAAAGAAAGGATGAAACAGATCAGCAGCAAGCTGGCAAAAGGAGAAGATGATCTCAAACCCAATAATGTTCACCGAAATTGCTGAAAGCTAATTGTTTTTACTGCGAATGTTGTACCCTGGACTTCGAAGTGTCTTGAGGCCAATCAAAAAACCACGAAGATTTTGATCCACACACTCAGCAGACAGAACCCATGTTCCAATTGAGATATGAATGATTTTGTTTACTTATTCATATATGTAATCTTTTGTGATCATGATGTGAGATGACGTCATGTTGGATATCGATATTTAAACAGTTTACTTTCTTCTTTACCGTTGTTTCCTTTTCTTTATCGAAATCAAAGTTATTTAATTCACAATTCTTCATGACTTCAGAATTGTCATCTTTTCTATTCTATTCGATCTCAGTGTGTAGCTTGTTAAGCTGACTCCTGAATCTCACAGGAAAGAACCAATTCTAAGTGTTCTTTCATGGTCTAATATGAAGCCCATTCTATTATTCTATCATGTGCTTCTGGCGGTGATTTGATCAAGTACATTCCTTGGACTTTTTAATTCACGATGCCAAGTAAGCAATTAATCCCCTAATAAAACATTTGGAGAAGTTATGACGGTTATGACTTCATGGCCTCCTCTTCGCAAGGATCTTTATCCTCTTTCTCGGCATCAAAGTATGAAGAGGTATGAAGTGTTCAATTCAAATATGAGCACTAGACAACTTTTAGACTTTTTCGATATTCCACAATTTCAAAAAGTGCAATTCGAACCGGCCGCACAAAATCGGAGCTTGGCGGCTTAAATTGCTGGAAAAATGACGTCAGAGTTCTGAAAGTCAGATATGAAGTTACAAGTTCAAAATTCGATGGATTGTCCGTGTCGTTTTATCGGAGCCTGTGCCGGTATCATTCGGAATTCCTACTCAGCTTGCGGTCGCTCGGAATCACGTTGACATGCCGATCCTGGATGGATGTTGATGCAGCAAAAGAAAGTCGAGATTGTAAACATCAAGAAAAACGAAAGTCGATTGTAAGCAAAAAATATCTGCGGAAAACTCAAATCGCTTTCCATCGTTCACCGAATCTTAGCCCGTGCGGTCGTGCTAAGGTCCACGGAGCTGTGGCTACAGCTGGCTACAGCCAAACACACGAATGAGTCAGAGTTTGAGCTCAGCTTGATGTTGTCAGTTGGGTCTTTCAAACTTCAAACTCATCCTGAACTCCCTGTGTAGCAAGGTCTCATAGTGCATGAGACATATTCAACTTGCAAGCAAAACATTTGGTGTAAACAAGCCAGAGAACAAACCTCAAGCAGGTCACCAACCAGATCTCAAACGCTCAAGAGTCGTAAGGAGACTACCACTATTTAAGACCTTGTCAACAGTTGTCCGATGTAAATCTGATTCACAATTTAGTTGAGTGGGAAAGTTCATTGATACAGCCGTCAGCCTCTAAAGCCCACGACTTCAATCAATGGCTTTTCAGTTGTTAATGGTTTGAGCATGCGTGATCCACCGCCACCACTTGGGATTCTGAATTCTCAATCTTCCACATCTCAATGATCATCATTGGTTTTGCCGGTCTAAACCAAACAACCTGTTTCTAACCTTTCCTCTTGCTACGCCCCTCTTCCTTGTCAATAATCAAACCTCACGTTTCAGCTGTATAGAACTCTCCCCCTGTCACTTTCACAACTTAAGCAAAAAGATCACAACAAATCGTTTCCTAGGCCCTTTTTTTTATTTTTTGTCTTATACCCTCAGGTCTTCCTCTTGTTGCTTTAATCCGCATCTTGTTCGTTGATCTGTTCAGCAAGCAGACCACCGAATCACTAACTTGGTTCGATGAATTCCTTCAGGTTTGAATCTTTCAATTTTCTCATGATCAGGAGCCAATCAACAAATGTTCAATCTGGCTAATGCATTGATGTTTTTGATAGCCGACGTAGCATTGCTTTATTACTCACGAGCTCAGCAGCATCTCTTCAGTTCGATGGACCCTTGGAAAAGCGCCTTTCCATTAGAGGCTTGAATTCATCCTCCACCGATGAAGGCTCACAATCGAACTCGAAGACAGATCAGCCAGTGACGAGCGGTTCGTACCATTCACAATCCTTTGTTTTCAATTGTCCAGGAAACTGTTTTGAGATATGAATTGTTGAATCTAAACTTCATCTTCTTGTTTGTCTTGCTATGATATTTTTTGACACGATATATGATCACCATCGACTTCGTTCCACATATATTCATTGATGGATGGATGTATTTTAATGTTGACTTCGGGTAAAAAAAATATCTCGACCTGCTATCTCCACATACTGCCCCACCAGATACCACGAATCCCTCTTCATCTTCCTCTGCTACCCCGCAGGATCATTCAAATGGCCAAGGTGGCTCTTCCACCACCCCTGATGGTTCATCGACACAAGGTGATTTATTTAACCCTTACGTTCCAATTCTTGAACCCTATCTGACATTCCAGATCTTGCAAACATCTTCCACCATGGCAGTTACTCCAGCTCAAAATGATAAGCCGACATCAACTAGTAATACTAACACTACCCCAGATGATAACAACAAGTCTTCCACAAATATGACTACGACACCAGCGACTTCGCCATCCAATACTGGATCCACCTCTCATTCAGACACAACAAAGACAAACGGCACCATTGCCTCATCGGCACCAGCGTCGAATGCACCCTCTTCCAACACAACTACCTCGGCTACTCCAGCCACTCCAGCTAATTCAAACAACACGACTACCCCAACTAACGTCACTACCTCTTCCACACCTGGAAACTCGAGCGCCTCATCACCCAATGCTACTACATCTTCCTCTTCCGATAATAAGGATAATAAGACAATTTCGGATAACACTTTCCCAGTAAACAGCACTATTTTATTTGGTAATGCGACTAATACGTCTTTGGATTCTACCAACAGAGCCGCCATTGGCTCTAATTCCATCTCCTCAAACACACCAACTACCACGGACTCGAATGTGGGCGGTGCGATGGCTACTGCGAGTGGTCCTGTTAGACCCTTTGCTCCTAACAGTGCAAATCTTGCTTCAAGCGGCTCATCATCCCACTCTGGGCTAAAGATGTGGACTGCAATCATCGGGGGATCTGTGTTAGGAGGTCTAGTGGTGAGTTCAACCTCCTCACTGGAGTCTCAATCGAAATCGGTACACTGATCTAACTATAAATCTTTTTTAGTTGTTTGTTATGCTCTGGTATCTACTGACCTGGAAAATGCGAACTCGCAAGGATGTGTATCGGGTAGGTCATACTACCTCGGGTAGATCTGAACTATAAACCACAATCTCTGGTAGATGTGAGAGGCAAGAAACGGTGTTTGAACTGATTTTCCTCTCTTGCGTTTCGTTCCTCAGGACATGGAAGTAGATTTCGGACCTACCGCTCAAGACGCCACCTGGGGACCTGGTCAGTTTATTCAAGTCATCTTTCTTTCTTACCTTTTTGTAGTGAGAGGCTTACATAGAACTTCATGATTTGATCATCTTTTCATGTTCAGGCGCAGACCAGGCGTTCCCTGCCCAATTCCCTACTTTAGCTTCTTCGACCTCTGGATCCCTTTCATCATCACGCCAGCTTCAAGGATTTGAAAGCCCAGTCGATCAGCGCGCTGGATCAAGAAAAGACTCTGTAGGAGCCTTGACTCGATCTGATACGAACGGAAGTCAACCATGGCATTCAGCCGAATATGGAGGATTAGAAGGACCTTTACCACCACCACCACTCATGCATCATAATAATGAAGTCGCAGGATTCAATCGAGGAGCAGTAGGATGGGATCCTACACATGAAAGATGGAATTCGGAAGAATATGATCCTAATAATCCGAATCATGGTGCTTTTGATCATGTTCCACCACAACAAGTTGGGATCAGACATCATGCTTCCTACAATTCGTTTGAAGAGATGAGAGAACATCAACCTTATAACGCGAGAGGTGGGAGTAGGTTTGCAGAGTGATGAAGTGATCGGTTAGGTGATCATCAAGTCAAAGGTTCTTTTTGCTCCGACTCTTTCTCTTTGCAAGCTTGAGTTGATCATGGACAACGAATATTTGATTTCGAATTTTGAAAGATTTGTTTTTCCTTGGAGTTTTTGTTCCCCCCGCCCCCCGCCCTCCTCCTCCCTTCTTTTAAGCCTTTACTGGGTATTATTTTGAAAAAAAAAAGATTCGTCTTCATTCATTTTTTCTTTCATCCTTTTTTTTTGATGAGATTGACAAGCGTCTTTCATTTTGCAATTTTGTGTCATGCACAGTAACTTTCAATTTTTTTTTTTGGTTTGGTTTGTGTTTTTGATTTTTGTACTGCTGGTAGTCAACACACCACTCGTAATTTTTTTTTTCATCTTTCTAACATACACAAAATACCTAGATAAAACCATGATGAAAGAAACTTTTTTTTTGATTTTTTTGATTTTTTGATTTTTGTTTTCTTGACACTGGATGTCTTTTTAAAGATTAAACACTTTTTGTTTGTCACTCTTTTGAAAAACTTTCATTTTTTCTTTTGGATTTTAAAATGCTAGATACATACATACATATATATATATAAGATTTTGCTTGTACCTTCGTTTGAGAATTTTTGGATTTCGCTTTGAGATCTTTCTTTTGTATTTATTTTTCTTTCTTTATTAAGTTGATTGCCCTTAGACGGGCTTTTCATACAAGTTGAAAATGAAATTTATATGTCACAAGAGAGAGATGATGAGAATCGATGAAGAAGTGGTTATTTGGCTTGATCATACTTTTGTGTAATATATCGATGAATATGTGGCATTTTGTGGCATTCATTAAGCGTTCAGGGAGTAATTAAAGAGTGGTTGATCAGTTCATCCCACTGGATGCTTTCTCAGATAACAAGTTCAAATCATACAATTCTTTGTGATTGTACTCTACAAAACCAGAATCTTATCATGTATCACTATATTAAACATCAGAACTTGATATTGGATTATATCATACTGTTGGGTGACTTGAATGGGTGTTGAACTCGTCAAGCTTGGATTTGATGAATACATGACACAAGAGTGGTTGGATCTCTCTTTCAGATAAGCAGATGATTTATCTGATTCTTGATACATAGTAAGAATTCTACTCCTCTAGAATTTCTTCCAAAGTATATTATGCTTCAATATCAAGATGAGCAAGAAACGTGAATAAAAGAAGCCAATATGCAATCATACCAAGAGTGATGCTAAGAGAGGTTACTGCACATTTGTTGGATTGTTTTCCTGATACCAATGCTAGCAAGAGATTTGTATGATCCATTCTATATACATTCTCTAGTATCACTTGTTCAAGGGAATCTGATATTATACTTCTTCCAGGAATAAACAATTCCATTCAGACTTCAAGCAATCAAACAAAAAAAACAAAAAATCCTAAAAAAAAACTACAGGTCCCACAAAAATAAAAAACAAAAAACAAACTTTTAAATTCTAATTAAATCAACTCGACATCTTTCCCATATATTATGTTCAATAGCTTCAATCTCATCAGGTGATTCATTTCCTCTTAAAATCTCAGCTTCTAAATTCGTTTTCTCAGGTCCATGAATCGTAAATCTAGCATATGTACCTGTACCTTGTCCTTTACATAATTGACGTGGGTTTACAATCACTGTAGAATCGACGATCTGGTGAGAATCAAGTTATTAGTATATTTCTACAGATTTTAGAGTAGAGTCATTGGTTTTGGTACCTTTGCAAAAGCTGTGAAGCTTGTGGGCATGATTAAAATATCAGCGCCCACGGGATCGTATTTTATTAGCTCGTGATGCGTAACATCCAAGTTCACCTGGTCAATCCCAGCCCCCAAAGTGGCTGGAAATAGCGGATAGAAGCTAGATGATGATAATGCGTCAAACCATGATCAGTATCCATTGTCTTGCTACTTTCGTGAGGTGGAGGAAATGAGTAGATGTACGCCACCTTCGTTGCCTCATGACGTGCCGACATGCTCGAGAGATGATATCTCTAGCATTAGGATCGGGTCCTTCGTTGGACTCGCCATCGTCCTGAACAAGTGCCGGTTTGAAGAATTCTTCTTTTCGGATGGACATCAAGACATCTACATTATTGATACCGATCACTACTTCATTGATAGTGATTGTGATCGGATTGGGTAGGCATTTGATATCAGATGTTAAACCTAATGCCGGGTCTCTGAAATTGAGGGGAGACTGAGGATAAGCCGCGTGTGGAGCGATGATATCACGTAATGATGGAATCAAGTAGATCCTGGTTTGTGGTGAGGAAGTTCGGAGTTTGATGAGTCGAGTCGCAATCTTTTCTCGGAAGAGTGTACTGGGTGTATCATCGATATCTCCAGTCTTGATGAGTGGGTGGTTGGAATCAATAAATGGACCTAACTGCATACAAGAAGATTCGAGATGTCTGATTATTATTCATGAACAGGTCACGGTGTCATATCATCAAAAGTTTGTTCTGACCAAGATAACGAGGTCTAGGTGCTCCGTGGCCAGTTGTGTTAGCAGAGCATCAAGCGGTAGAAAGTCTAGATTGTCATCAGTCGTAAAAGGACCACACGCAATGGCAAATTTGATCGGTGTTTCTTCTACAGATGGTAAGTATTCAACCAGTTTTGTTGGAAGAGTCGTAGGAGGATCTACTGGTGGCATCTACGAATTTCAGCAAATTTCGTCATTTCATCAGAGGTGTACTTTGATATTCGAGGGGGGAAAGCTAACAGTCAGAATTTCTTGCACACTGAAGTAAGTGCCGCCGCCGTTTCGTCCTTTGACACCGATAATTGCTCCCGGAAACAAACCCACGCCTCCTTCACCAGATCCAACACCGTGTACCTTCAGGGCTTCATCCCATTTAAGCCAAACTCGTCTACCATAACCACCTAATCGGCTAGTTTCCAACCAACAAGCATTGTCGGAAACCTTTGTGTCTTGTGTTTCTGCACAGATCCTTCCAACTGCCCAGATATCTTCCTGACTAACAACGCTAGGATCGGACCATTCTTCAATGCCATGCCAATCAGCCAAAATGTTGCTAAAGTATTCAAGTTTTTGATCGAGGACATCTGATCGATCCGATAATTTCTCAAACATATAACGATAATTCCAATCGGATGTACTTGCAGCAGCTCCGAATTTGATAGGATGAGTGGAGGTTCGGCTAGTATTAGCCGACGCTGTTGGTAGAGGTAAATATGAATTTAATGAATCCATCACTTTGAAGGGCTCGGGTCTGGAGTTGAATGCTGCAGGACTATTTGGTTGACGTGGACTATCTAGCTTAGCGCGAATCGGTAGGTTTGGTTTCGAGGGCGTAACCCCATTGATAATCTCGGTTGGATGCCCTTTGCTCCGTGATGCAAATGGACTTGAGAAAATGTCACCCTCAATGTCTTCGCGTTTGACTGCAAGGGCTGATGATGGCCTCGAGTTAGATGAGTTCTTATTGAGACTAGCATTCTGGGGATTTCCTGTTCGACGAGGGGCTTTGGGAGTAGCAAAAATTCCGAATTCATCTAACCTATCGATTAGGAAATCGGGAACCAATATCAACAAACAGACCTTCAAGAAGTGTCTATAAATCTAGTGAACTAACCCAGATCCTTGGCCAGGATTCGGCTGCCTTTTCTTGATGGCAACAGACGAAGGTCCTGCCATATTTGAATCTTTAGAATTCATGTTAGAAATCGAATATGAAAGTGTCGAATGGCCAGAGGATATCTTGAAAAAGTGAAATCGATGAGATTGGTCGCGTTCAAGGTTCACGCGATGAAGTTCAGTGACTGACAACTGTCGGAGTAAGTCTAAACCTCTGAAGAACCATAAACCACTTCGTGCCCCGATCGTGGCAAAGCCATAGTGGCCCCGGGAACACTCCAGAGAGCTCCAAAGTCCAAGATCTTTGAAGGAAGCGCAGACTTTATTGATCAAGAAGTCTCTGATGACAACTTGCCTCACAATGTTATTGAGTAGGGGCCCGTTCGTATGTTCAGATACAGACTTTGATTTCTGAGCTGAAGATGCAGGTGAATGTGCTCGCCTTGATAGTTCCTGTATTTACTTTTCCAAAGATGCTTCATCAGTGTGACTATGAATTATATGTGGTCAGGCTTATATAACCTCACGCACCCATAGAGTGATCAATGATTTTTGATTAATCTTTTTGTCTTCCTTATCATTCAATGTGGACGCTATCTTGACAGAACCTAGATCCTCTCATAAGAGCTGATTGCCCTATTAATAAAAAGCACAATCACACGAAGCCATCCCTTGTGAAATGGTTGAGACTCCTTGAAGACTATGACATTCAATTATTTGAAAGGTCAGTCATTGCTGAAATTTGGGTCTGATCAGTTGAGAAGCAAATTGGGATGGTCTTGAGGTTGCGCGGTGTCTGCAAAGGAACCTTTGAATCAATAAACTAGTTATCAAGCTTCAACTCTTATAAGTTACACCTACAGCAGAAACAAACTACCCGTCATAAGTTATAACCCTTCAAAGCAATTAGCATAGTTTCAATTGGACACATTATCATTCCAAAACACGATGGAACATTGTACCAAGTCAAATGATCAGTGATTGCAGTTGGCATTTTATTGAGCACGCGTCTTCCTTTCTATCTAGTCTTCAGCCTAGCAATGAATGAAATAATAATCTTGGAGAGCTGGCTAGGATTTCAAAACTTCACAAACATACACGATTTTACTGCTGTCACTGACATCAACTGGAAGAATGAATTGAAAAGACGTGGAAATAGATCATCTCATAGGTTTCATGCTTCTTCGTACATTTTCCTCCATTTTTCCAATTGAAAGCTTTCAAGAAATCTTTGTGCAAGAAAACGCTTCTACTCAAAGAAATGATATGATGTCGACATTGTAATACATCGATTTTATGAATTTCCTTCTGATCAATTCTTGGTTCTAGTTTCATTTCTGCAACAGTCCAGCTTAGCTGACCTCCTTCTATACAAAAGGACTTGAAATTATTTATGGGGTACTCACCGTTACCCGCTCCAATGAGTTGCGATTTTCCAGACTTGTCACAACTCTTCCTCGGTGTCTCCTTGTAGAGCCTGAGGATCAAGTCGAGAGTAAGCCTGCGTGGTAGCGTTACCCTTGGCCCTGGTAGATTAGCGATTTCCCGTGGATAAGGCCAATAGGTGTGACTGTGGGACCCCGAGAAGTGCTAGACCTGAGTGGATCTTGCATCAAAGAACAAGAAACTCGGTTCCTACTTCCCCCGCCATCCCAAAACATGGAGTTGGCAGTGACCTACTTTTTCGAAAGGAAAAAGTCTTACGGTAACTCTATGGTAGATTGCCTGTTCCGGTCGTCTCACTGTGCTCAGCGAGTTGTGCCACATAGACTATGGTCTGATAACACAAAGCGATGAACTATCTATCTCTATACTTCAATCGACTGCTAGTGGCACAATGAGATGTTGATCAATGCCCACAAACAATAGACCGCATTGCAAAATTTCAACATCAATTCCACAAAATGAATGCCACGGTAGGATCTTTTCGCGTCAAGTGGCCAGTCTGACCTATTACATGGCTCTTGATAGTGTTCCAACGTGCCTGCTTACTATGATGCCGTGCATATCATCTCATTCGCTCTAAATTTTGGTCTAACAGGCACCACTTAGCGGCTCATGGAAGCAATGCGTTCACGAGACTTGACTCTACTCGGTGCTTCATTCAGGGCATTGCATTTCGAGAAGGCTGAAGTCGTGCAGTATACCACTGGTAAATTTTTGGAGTGGCAGCAGACAAGGGCGAACAATGAGAAATGTTGAGCTTCCAGAAATCATATAAAATCCCATCCTCAAATCCGTTTCTTCCTCTCTTTCTTCATTCTATCACAACATTCGAATATCCTAGACAACTACTATTAATCTTATAACTTTCTTAACTTTCTTTACGTGATTTCCGTATCATTTGTTTTAGTCAACATCACATCACATCCCTTCGTACTTTATTTTAAGTCTGTCACTCCAAGACAACACACTTTTCTTAAACACTATAACATTCATTAACTACGTCGATTCTCAACACTAGAGTCTCTTTTTAATATCCAACTTAGCCACTAGATTTTACTTACAATGTATACCTCTAAGATCGTTACCATTGCTGTGACTCTTTTCGCTTTTGCTATTCTTCCTACTCTTGCTGCACCTAGCCCACAACGTCCTGGTGCTTCTGCGATTCCTCAATCACCTGCTGCTGAATCCGGTCTCGCCAAGCCAGAAATTCAAGCTCATCATAATGTCAAGGCTAGCAAGACCACTGGACGAAAGCATGTTAGTCGTCGTAGCCCATTGCATCCTGATGTGATGATGGCTCGTCGAAACATTGGACCTTTAGCTACTGCTACTCAGCTTCTCAACGCTGCTTCAGCGATGAACGGTGATATGGACTCGATTCGTAAGTCTCCTTTATTCATGTGTCACTCCCTTTTTATTCACACTTTGACTAATCTTTCTGTGTGTTTGTGTTTTCTTTCAAAGATCGATCATTATCAAACTTACAGGCAAACAAAAATCTTGGGCAATCCACTGCTTTCCAGAAAGAAGTTTCCCGTAAACTTGCTCAATGGCAAAAACATGCCAACAACATTCCAACTTTGACCAACATCCATAATTCCCTCAGCTACTTTGGTAGAGATAAGGGTACAGCGAACTTGAACAAGAGTAATGAAATGGAGGTGACTTTGAAGGTTTGTTTTTTCTTTACTCATAGTTTATCAACATATACTAACGTCTTCATCCTATGTTTTAGAACACTGTTAACTCCATGAAATACTCGATGGCTGACCTCAACTTGATGGTCTATCAAGTTCCTGCCTTGGGTCCCACACTTGGACCCATCGTCTACCAGATCAAGTGTATCTTGTAAGTCTTCTCTATCATTTTCTCCAAATCTTGTCAATTTGATAACCTTTGCTCTCTTATTCTTTTTTATCTAGGGATGATATTCTTAATGGTTCAGAGAATACCGCGGATGTATTACTAAACAAGTTAGGACTTGGGAAATCATTAGATCTTTGCTCTTTAATGAGTAATATGTCGGAGTTTTGTTAGAAAAAATCTTTATGATTTCATTCTAACATTTATCTTTCTCCTTATCGTCTCTTTTGAATTCCCGTTTGTTTGACAGTTTTAGTTTTAATCAGTATTTGTTCTTGATTGGTTTTTTTGTTGTTGTTTTTGTTCGATGTTCCTTGGTTCTCTTTTCACATTCGTTCTTCGCTTTCTTTCATCAATATAATGCGTTTTTGCTTCTAAAGATTAAACATACAATCAGCGTCTGTTGGAGTCTCGAGCAGTCTGTCTCCACGCTGCCTAGAGAAAACATACTCCATGTACCGCGCTCTTCCCCCACCTAGCGTACGACCAGCTTATCAAGTCGAGGCGCACTAGCAGACACACCGGGTTCGATGACACCCACTGAAGTATGATGAACCGACGAAGGAATGTCAAGGTCCATGAGCACCTCCAATTTCCTAACGTAGGATGAGAGAAGTAATGATGCATAAAGGTACTGGCCGAGATGAGTAACATCGACTTTAACTTTGGTGTCATACCATGCACAATTATTTTTGCACAGGCCGGTCACGGTTTTAAAGTTTGAAAAGGTTGAGACTACACTAACTTAACAAAGTCCCTCTCGCACAAATGAGTACTAGGAAACTACATAGGTCCGACTTACCTGAACATAACTTGTGGAGAAGCAGCGAAACCTGAAAAAGAGATTTTACCTCTTATAACTCATCTCAAGAAGACATTTGATCTTTCGTAACCCTCAAAGGAGAGTTTCTTTAAAAAACCAAACCAAAGAAAATAAGAATCAACAATTTCAAAAACAAAAACATGTCAGCTAAGTTAAGAAGAGACTTTCAAATAAGAAAAAAATATCAGAAAAAAAACTCTTGATTTGATAATCATTCACTGAGCTACACAAATAAAATAATTTGAAACTCAAACTTTAAGACAAAACAAAAAAAACACATCAGTTAAAAAAGTGTTTACACTTCGAATCCTTATCATATATATATATATATCTCCTTGATAGAAATGTAATTTTTTAATAAGCTTTATATTTAAATTAACATGAAGATTTTGAAAAAAGAAAGAAATCAATCATCACTTGTTCATTTAATAAAGATAACTTTCATATTTCTTTCTCTTTTTCTCTATACAAACAATACACATGGGCACACAAACGATATTCATACCCACACACATACGTGAACGACTACACTTTATTGGGCCCATGGGGCAGTCCATGAAAAGCCTTCAAATTCCTATTTTGCGAAACGAGCCCCAAAGAAAATCAGTTAGCCTGCATTCTAGTTCGAAACGAAAGGAAGTAAAAACTTACTTTCTGATCCTCAGCTCTCAATTGACTATGAACAGGTGTTAATCTAGGACTTTCTTTGGTAAATTCTGAATCGAAATTCGATACATCCATCGGTCCATTCTATCATACACATACCCCAAAGAGTTTCTATCAGTATCTTTTATAAACAAAACACGAAACAGTCGAGACCCAAGGAAGAAAACTTACGACAGTAGGGAAATAAGGTGCAGGTACCCTCTTTCTGTACACATCTTCCCAAACCGTTTCCCTAAAGAAAGGATGAGCTTTGATCTCTTCTGCATCAGTAGGTCCTCCACCTAATCTTCTTAATGGATCTCTAGTTAATAATTTTTGTAAAATCGAAACTGAATCTCTTGGCATATGAATCGGATAAAGTGGTTCGTCTTCTAAAATCGCATCAAAAATTTCATCCTCATCATCTCCTCTAAATGGCGATTGTCCTAATAACATCTCATAGATCAACACCCCAAACGCCCACCAATCTACCGCTCTACCATATCTTTGTTCAAGTAAGATTTCAGGTGCCATGAACTCGGGTGTACCACAAAATGTGCTCTGTGATTCAGATGATGAAGTCAGCTTTAGACCTTAATTTGTCTTCACGGCAGTGGATAAGGAAAAAAACTCAACAGTCGTGTTCTGATACCACATCTCTTCTTTACACAGCCCATAATCAGCAACCTTGATATGGCCGTCAAGCGTCAAAAGGATATTGTCCAATTTCAAATCCCTATAGGCATCCACAATGCAATCGGTTTCAGGTTTCAGCCGTATTTGTCACTTTCTGAGAGCAAACTTACCGATAGATCACTCCATTTTGATGAAAATATTCCAATGCCAGCAAAACTTCAGCAGCGTAGAATTTAGCTCGTCTTGGAGTAAATTGCTCTCGTTGAATATGCAACATCAAATCTCCTCCACTAACATACCTGTTCAATCCAAGAGGGAAAAAACGACTGATTCAATATTCTTGACTTTTATTTGATTACAAAATGATATCAAACTCAACTCCATCACAAAATAAATTCTAGTCTCAGTTTGAAAACAAGAATGCAATCCAATCAAGAACGGATGTCGTTCGCGACTAGCCGTCAAAAAGACTCTCTTTTCGGATTTCGTACTATAGAAAGAATCTCGAAAAATCAACACTTTTGTCACTCCTCAAGTTTTTACTCACTGAAACTACAAACGCACCTTTCTACCTCATCGTTTTCAATGATAAAATCCTTTTTCAAGACTTTGATGGCCCATAACTGGCCTGATCTTTTTTCTTCAGCTAACATCACCTTTCCAAAGTTACCTTTACCTAAGACAGCCAAGAAGTTAAAGTCATCCAATCCGATTTTCCTCTGCGCTTTACTACCTGACCTAGATCTTGACGATGCTGGGGTGCTAATGATAGCCGTGCTGCTACCACTCGGGGTAATGGGAGAAGCGATGGATTTGGTAGGCGAAGACATTGGAGGTGAAGTGATGCGAGGATCATATCGATTTGACGTGGGTTGTTGTTGCGGCGATGTCATTTGTTGCGGCGAAGTATTTGCAGGCGGACCTTGGGATAGTCTTGGTTGTGGTTGAGGTGGCAAGGGACGCGAGGCGGGGCCTGAAGAAAGAGGTGGACCCGGTCCAAAGAGCCCAGGGGGTGGAGGCTCAGGCATTCGCATGGGTTCCATAGGGGTTGGCAATGGGCGAGACCCGGACGGCCGTTCTTGACCATCAGACTCTCCATAAGGAAGATGGATTGGGACAGGCGTATGGCCAGCCGAAAGGGGAGGTTGTATATTGGTTGAACTGACTCGTGAATGGTAATCGGTGCTCGGGGGCGTCGATAAAGGCGCGCCGAGCTGAACACGACCGAATTCTTGATGAAGTTTCTCAGCTGACTCAATTGTAGAGGTGGCTGATGGGCGATTAGGCGAGCCAATGTGATCTTGTTTCAAAGGCGAATGAGAGCTGAGTCGAGTGTGTTGTCTGGTCTTAGCGGTCTTGATTTCTTGTAAAAGTCTATTGGCCGTCTCCATCGACATTCCGCAAAAGTCGGGCACAAGATGGGCACAGTCGGCATGTGATGTCATGCTACACTCTGTACATCGGCGAGCATTCTTTCGTCCTAACGGTAGCAACATTCCACAATGGCAGCACCAAGCGGGGGTGATGGTAGTCATCGGCTCAAATCGATGAGGTATTCGATGGTTCAGCATCTTTTCTTCATCCTCGTCCTGTTATAAACCGTGTAGAGCAAGGATCAGTCTATTTGTCGATTTTTTACAAGTGTATCAAGAGAGGTGACTGACTGCATCTGCATTCGATTTGGAGATACATTTCGTGACCACCTTCGTGAAACAACGTTTGTGACAGAGATACTTGCAATCTGAACACTGCATGCCAGAAGCATTGTACAAAAGCTCCCCGCAGAGGGCACATCGTACAATCTGGTAGAATTGTTGAGCTATAAATTGATGGCCATTTTGTTCATGGACTTCTTCCTTTTTCTTTCGCACCGCACCTTGTCGTCCGAGACCTGCGGTCTCGTAGGGTCTTTTGCGGACGTTAGACTTGACTGCACGGTCAAAGGTCAAGGGCGTCAGTTTGCGGCTGAACAAGTCAGTGTTAGCCGAGTCTTAGAATATTAAAGTATTGACCAAAGTTGAGATTTAAGCCGATCGCGCCGGCCGGCTCAACCGCAAACCAGGCTTCAATTCCCTCTGACGAGTTTCCACCAGTGGGTATTCCGGGAGGCTGTGAACCGAGACTCGTGATCGGCGATCCAGAACTACCAGAGCCACCGATGGCCAGCTCGCCTGCGCTCCCCCCACCTCTAGAATTGACCCGCGCAGCCGTGACCCAGCCCGGACCGGATTCGTTACCAATCTTCTTGCGACGAAGCTCCTCGACTACATCATTGATACGGACCCAAAGTAATCCGATCGGAATGACCGAGTCTTGATTGGATGAGATGCGATCATAGATGATGATCTCAAGTTCGTTGGCCTTATCAACATGAATTTCAAACTCTTCGTGCCAGCGATCATTACGGACGGGATGAGTACGAGCACGGGGAGTGTCTTCGACCTTGACCACTACGACTGTTTCTGTCGTGCCTTTTTTGGAGGACAGGGGAGCATGGTCGAGGTCTCTAGCTGAAGTGATGGTGATTTGAAGGGCACCCGAGATGGGACGACGAGGATGTCCTTTGCGCTCTTCCGATTCTGCATCCTCATCTTCGATTCCAGTGACCTCTAAAGTCTTGTAACGCTTGAGTGCTTGACCAAGTAAGAGCATCTTCTGACTTGACTCGACACGCTTCCGTTCGGCTTCAGCACGACTCTTTTTATCACCCCTTGAAGCCAGAGAAGAGTGGATAAGCTTGGGAAAGAGGATGTCAAGAATATATGATTAAACTGAACTCAAGTTGATAAAGTTTGATCATCTTTTCGATTCCATTTTTATATTGACTTTCAACACAAATCTTGAACTCAAGCTGATGAAGCATTCGACCAATCTTAGCCGCCGTGAGGGGTGTGTCATATTTGATCAAATCTATGATTTGATGAGAGAAGATTAGTTTTCAAGAGGCAGAGAAATCAAAAAGATGAATACAGGCGCGTACCTAATGCAGTATAACGCTTGACCGACTTGGGAATAGGAGAAGCAAGTTGAAGGGAAGTGGAAGAAGTTGGCGTGGGTGCCGTCGGAGATTGTTCGGAAGGAGATTCTAATTCTTGAATGGACTGTTGATAGAAACTGATAGTCTTTTCACTATCTCGGATTTTTGAGTCGCATGATCGAATGATGTCCTGATTCGACGTAGCAGTGCGCATCACTTGGAATCCATGAATGATCTTACGTTCCTTTGAGATTCGAGACTGAAGGTCTTGAATCTTTTGTTGATTTGACTGTGAGGTAAGGACAGATACGGATTAAGGTAAGCAATGCATTCAAGACGGTGACCAAAAATCGAAAAGAAGCTAACCGCCATGATGGTAAGATAGATACAATGATCGAGTTCTCTTTCTTACTATCTATTGCCAAATTATTTTATCAAGCTTGGTACGGTTTCTTCTTTTTGTTGATGATGACGGTGTTTGTTCTTGTTCACCGTTGGCTGTGTTGAAGGTTAAGACCATGAACTGTCACTCGAAATGAGATGACCAGAGATTAACACAAACTGTATTTGACCGCTTTCACCTGTGACTTCTCTGTGATAGGCCCAACATAGCTTAATACCGACAAAGGAAATAAATTGATCAGTCCATCACTTTTAGATAATCTCAAGCATTCGAGTAAATTTTCAGTAAATTTTCTGTACGTAGGTGTTCGGTACAGTATCAATCGGTACAGAACTGTCGAAATCCACTATCGTTGGAAAGAAAGTGCCTCGGTACAGTACCAAATGGTGAGAACAATGGTTTCCCCGCAGATACCGAATCGGTAGAGGTCCAGTAAATTTGCTGGACCTCTACAGAATTTTGACCGATTCGGTGGATACCGAATCGTGTTTTAGACACGATTGGGGAATTTAAGGGTCGGTACAGTAAAATTTACCGTACCGAAGCCCTTTACCGAGACGATAGGAGATGCTCTTAGATAATCTCAAGCATCTCCACAAGAGCTTTTGAAAATGTGGCCTGACCTGAAATCAGATCCAGAATACATGTGAAGCACAAATACATTTTGGTTCAACAAACCTCTCTTTGTAGTGCAAGCAGGGTTGTTTGACACCTCTTGAGTCCTAGAGCTCTCCCAATGCCAACAACACTTTTGACTTAATCCTACTCACATTTAGTCACTGCGCACAGGTCTGAGGAAAACATACGAAGTGGAAAGCGCAGAATCTACAGGGCAGTTCATATTGGAAGGATAGACTTGGGACATTCGAACTTCTGCAAACAAAATGACCCCGGCTGATCATGGGGCGAGAACAATGGCGTCCAAGAATGTCTGAACATGTTCATTTTGGTGAAGTGAATGTGATTTTGACATGGGGGATGATTGTTCTAATAATGACTCCTCGCTCCCGTGGTTCATCAGTCCTGGAACATGCATCCGATTTAATTTATTTTATATCCCCTGACGTTGCGGAAGGATATCATAGATGCGGGTTTCACTTTACAGGACCCAAGTTTGTAAGGGAGGTACGGGAGAGTTTCAAATGGTCTTCGCAAAATAGTTGTGTGGGTAAGCTGGACCACAAGAGATTCGCTCAGGAATTTTATCAACTTTTTTTGCTCGCTTTGGACCGAAAGCTTAGCTTTATAACTTATAGATCAGCTATGAACAAGATCATCTTATCATGGCGGTGTTGCTTGATAGTTTCTTGCTGTTTAGGCGCAATTACTCCATCAGAAAGACTGGTCGAAGGTGTGATTGAAGAGAATGATTTCAATTCGTTGGGAGCATCACACAACGAACGTTCAACACCGAACTTAATTCCTACAATGGAGAGCAACCGCATCGAAGAAGACGTCTATTGGACAGAAAGAAGGAATGTTATAAGACTTGCTCATGAAGGATACGAGGGAGACAAAAAATTCATGGATCAAAGAATCAACGCATTAAAGATATTTGCCCCATTAGCTGAAGATCTGGAATGTTATGTTCATCCAAAAGCTTCAGTCTCGGGACTTTCTCAACAACTGATTGGATTTTTCAATATTGGGAATAGAAAGAATGAGCTTTTACATATTGCCCATGAGGCTCAGAGATACCATTCAGGTATCAGCCCTTTAGCAAAAGAATTGAAACTAATGGTATATGACTATAAGATTGGGAATCCACTCTATACCCATGGTCTCGCACTTGATAAGATTATCATCACTTCACTTGAATACTTAGAGCGAGATAATTTAGAATTATATGAAAGACTGTGGATTTTGAGTGTCCTTCATATCCTTAAATCTTTCTTACCAAAAGGGCAGCTCGGAAGAGATCCAAACACAGGTTCTGTTTGCCGAGGAGGATTGGAGCTTTTTCTAACGGAAGGTATGTTACATTTTCTCATTATTCAGAATCTGGAATACGAGTGTTAATTTCAACTCCAGGACTTGACTTGAAGCCTAGGGTAAAAGGAATATCCAGTCGAGGGATAGACATATTCCCCGTAGATGAATGTGAGTTCACTTCCGTAGCTTTCATCTTGGCTGCCCATCAGACATCATGAGCTGATGCAGATGGATACGATCACAGCCATCACGGAAGCCCTCAAGCGAGTTGAGCTAATTGCGAACATCAGAAATTACCTTCAGGACTCTGAAAGGAACCAACAAACACCTACATTCATCAGGATACACAATGGATTACTTCAAAATAAGTCTTTGACCAAAGGAAGGATTCTTGAGTCATTGGCATTGCAAGCTATGCATCACTCAATTTCTAAGACTACTTCAGAAGGAGAAATCCAATGTTTGCATGCGATATTACAACATCTCAGAACTTTTTACCCAGTCACTAAGAAGTTTCTAATCACAGAAGCTCTGAAGCGCGTTGAGTTGATTGAGAAAATCAGAGATTACCTCCGTAAACCTACCATAAATAATCAATCATCGAGAATCATTGAAATATATGATAAATTGCTTCAAAACAGGTTTTTAACCGACGCAATAATTGTACATTCATTGACTATGAAATGTATACAGCACATGGTTTTTGGAACTACTCCAGATCAAGAGATACAATGTCTATATCACATATTGCAATATCTGAGAAGATTCTATCCAGCTGCAGATAATCTTGTGAAACCTTGGTTATCACGCAATAAGCGTTTTAAAGCAATCCATCATAGATTCCAGGCGCAAGCTGAATTACAGCCCCATATTCAAAACTACCTCAAGAAAGCAGATATGGACCCTTACATTGCAATCCTTCTTGGGCCTTTTACACACCACAATCTGGTCGACTTAGATTACATCAAAAGGTGTCTACATGCATGTCATCTCCATGACTATGAACTGAAAGAGTATAAATCAGGATTTCATGGTCTAGATGCTATAAGACAGCAGAAGTATTATGAAGATCAAGATTTTTTCATTGACATGATATATAAAGCAGGGTTTTACATCAAAGGACTCCAAGAGTATCTGAATAGTAAGGTGCAAAGAAATGGCAAGTCTCTTTAATTTCTGCAATACTGGTGTAAAATCCCATCTCCATAATGGAGTCAAATCAGTTGGCTCTATGGCTCCTCCATTCCTTGAAAACTTTACATCCTGATCTGTCATCCACAATGAAAGTGGAGCTGAGATAGAATAGAAAAACAATCAATTACATAGTTAGATGTCCAATTAATCTCTAATGGAGCACTGACTACTGATTTTCTTTTAGCAGGCAATGGACATTATGAATTTATATCAAAACTGTCACTTGAAATGGAAAAAGACAATTCTGATAAATGCCCCATCTGCTTTTCTGAATTCTTTGAGGGACAAAGAGTTGTCAAATTGACGTGCCGCCAAATGCTTCATGGGAATTGTATGGATGTAAGTGAATTAATCCGTAAATATTTTCATATCAATAATGGTCACAATTTGCTAATGTGTAGTTTTGTATCTAAATGTTCTCTGTCCTCGGGGGTTGTCCTTTGGAATATATCACCAGAGACTGGTATGCTCATCTACAGCTGACAAGGTCCGATGTCCCACATGTCGCAGGGGTATTACAATACCACTTTCTCAAAATCAGTTCACCTTCTGGGGGTCACTGGGACCCCCTGACCAGATTTTGTGATATTAAGATGCTCATATGTAGGAACAGGTTCCTCCCCAATGTTTACTTTGACGCATCAAAAACACAAGGCTTGCCTTAACATATTCCTATATTGATAATAGCAATCCAGGCTGTTCAGACTTGACAAAGCTTTTGTACTGTGCTGTGTAAGCCATATCAACACCCAAATCTGATGATGGAAGCTTACAGTCTAGATAACAAGGTGTAAACGGGCAATAATGATGGCTTATATTCATTCAAAATAAAGAGTGGTAAATTTATCTTTTGTGGTCCTTATTCCCAAGCTAGTTTCATTTGTCAATGATGATGGTTTGCCACCCCCAGCCTGTGCTGACCCAGCTATCTGCTAAAGTGAGAGTGTTTGCTTAAGCCCGGGTGACAGGTCAAAAGAGCCCTGCAAGAATTGGACTTGGGTCACCTCAGGCCACGCCGCATCAGCGACTGTGGCTGAAACTCTCTCAACCCCGGGGTTCGGACTTGTGTCAGATCCTTTGAACTCAGCGTGATCAGGTACATGAATGATGAACCGTGTTGTGCCAGGTTGTGCCAGTCATCATACATACTCAGATCGTCGCATGTTTGGGAGATAATTTGTGAACTTATTACATCCCTGATGTTGCTTACAAAGTGGGTCGTCGACGATGCTCGATCAGTGCCAGAAGGGTAATCGAATGGTTATCTGGAACGTGTATGTTTCTCGGATTCCTGAGGGAACACCAGAAAAATTTGGACTTCAAAATGCCATCAGCTACAGCAAGCAGGTGGAAGAACTGCCTTGATCTTCTCCCTAATAATCTCACTGACTCAGAATCCGAAGCGCGCCCTTCCGCACTGAACACATCTCATAAGTCGCGTGTGAGCGAACAAAATTGATGAAAGTAAGGTGGCGTCATGCGGCAGGAAAGAGCTTGACTCAGACCTCAAATTATGGACACTTTAAGCCACTCAAAGCTCAGCATCTATCAGCGCGCTCCCAAGAAGCGCGAACAAAGCGGAAATCAACAACTGACTTTCCCTCCCAACGCTTTGTCACCTGTTTACATATCTCGCCTGGAGGTCGGATGTTGCGCGACACACACACCTTGTTTTACTGTTTTATCGTCATACATTCGAAACACTATGGGCGTTATATGAGGAATGATTCATGAAACTGACAGTATTTGGCCCCCGGAGTTTTTGAAAATCTTCAGTTTCTCACACCAATTGTCATCCCCGTTTTGGGACCGAGATAATGTAGATGTTCGGCTCTATGCTACATCGTCCTTCCCGAAGGATATAAGTAAGGCTTCATCTTTGCGTCTCTCCTTCATCGCCAGAATCCTAAATATTAGCAAATAATTTTTCAACTCTTGACTATGGCTCGTTCTTTGGTCGCTTTTCTGATGTTTTTTATTGTACCACATGTCGCGAAGTAAGTACGAGCTGGTACGGCCCTCAATCTAATCACCGGCACTCAGGTGATCATACCAACATTTTTTTTGACTTCTTCAGGGCGGCTGAGCATTTAAGTAGGCCAAAAGTGGTGTACTCTAGCGTGGTAGTGTTCGGAGATTCATATTCAGGTGTGTGCCTATAAATTTGAGGCTTCTTCCTTTACCACGCCTTCTACTACCTCGGCATCGATCCTGCAGGATAACTTATCGTTGTCCGGAGTTCATTGCAGACGACGAACATCGGAAAACCGAGCCAGCTACAAGTAAGCACCCGAATAATCGCGCTCGAACTTATGAAACAGCCAGAACGCTGAGTTTTCCTTTGGTTACGCGCGTCAGATCCATACGCTGCTCTTGGCGCGAATTCTACCGGAATTCTATGGCCAAACATCCTGGTGAAGGAGATGTCTCAAAGACAACCCCCGAAGCTCTACGACTATTCATAGTAAGATATAACCTGAGCACGATCGAACGAAAATGGCTTTCAGGCTTCTAAATATCTTCATCGTCAAAATAGAGGTTCAGTATCCGGACTAAAGTTTTACTGCCATTTTTTCTTTTGAGTAGCAACGGAGCTCATGCGAATAAACACCTGACATATTTGGGGGTAGACATTCCTGATACTCGGGACGAAATTCAGGAATACCTTTCTGACCTTAAAGCTGGCCACATCGAAGGCGGTGAAGGGAGCTTACTGTATATCTGGTGGATTGGAATCAATCCGATTGACGCAATCTGGATCGATGCTTGTGACCCTGAGCCCAATGGGGGAAAAGGTGCTCGATATCCCACTGATCACCTCTTCTTGAATGCCACCGACCGAATTGACAAACAAGTCGCAGAAGTTCGGTCTCAAATGGAGGAACTTCGTGCAAATGTGGCTGCTAACATGTCAGGATTCCATTCACTGATATCACCCTTCTCAGTGCTCTAATCATTACACCTGAATTATCGATGATATTTGCTCGTATTGACAAAATGTATCCCCCACTATCCTCCCGATCAGGATACCTACAAGCTATATGGCCGTTACGGTCCCTAATGTTGATGTCGCTCCTCTACAACATCAATACGTACAGAAATGGGCAAATGGTGACAAAGAAATGGAACACGACTTGTTAAAGCTCCTCCAACTGCTCATAGAGCAATACAACAAAGTTGGTTATGCACGCTTCACTTACAGAATCTCTCATGGTAACAATGCTCTCCACAGTTTCTCAAACTTACATATCAGCTATTCTATATCACAGAAAATTAAAGAAGCAGTCCATTCACTTCAAATCGCGTACGGCGAGAGCAAAGGTTTTATCAGGACTTATGATATCGTTCCTCTCTGGAACTCAATCCTTCAAACCCCTAAACAGGTCAGCTTGAGATTCAAGCTACTAGTGTAGCTGAGGCATCACCCACACGCTTACTTACATTCACCCCAAATTATAGTACGGCATCAAGAATGTTACGGGAAGTTGCTTGGTTGGACAGGTTGTATGCCCTGAAGTTGACGATTATTTCTTCTGGGTATGTTTGCTCCATATATTACTCATCCCTTAAAATTGCCATACATCTTGTAACACTCATAATCTGAAATTGTTTATCCTACATCAGGATTATCTCCATTTAAGTCCTCGAGTTGAGGCCCTAATCTCGCACAATATATATAACTTCATTTCAAGTCAAAACTGAAGAACCTCTCGACATCGAAATGCTTCCTTTTAGAAGCAGTAGTACAATCGATTATCAAAAAAAATTGGGAGCGATCAACGTAATATCATGAGGACGGACAGGGAATAGATATGGGCACGGTTGGTGAAATTTAATGTTTTTTTTCTTGTAATTTTTACCACTTTAATGTTTGGAAATAGAGCCATGCAACAAGAGAGAAGAGACCGCGCACACCCAGAGGCCAGAGCCATCGAAGTATTCAGTTTAGCCTCAAAGGGAGATACCATCTGTTGAGAGTTCACAGGACAAGAAAGCCAATCAGATGTTGTTTCAGGGCTAGAGCATCAGAATGTGATATCTTCGTGGAAGTGTGTATCCCTAGGTAAGTTTACAGGGCTTGGAACTCGAGAGACTGACACATCCTTCAAATCAGTTCTTTTCTTCACGTCATTCACTCACTGTGGTTGTGGTTACTGGTGGAGCAGGTACAAATTGTTCTACCATTGCACCAATCTATGACCTATGACTACACTTGCCGTGAAACTCACACATACTACAGTAGGAGACGTGGTTCACAGTCCTTGAGAAAAATATTTGTGCCATCTCAAGGGGTCACGTAGGCGTCAAGTTTGGCATACATCTATGACAAGATTCCGTGAATGTAGGACCTGGAGGAAACATGGATAAGTAAAACTTACAAAGGAACTGAATGGAAAACGCTTTTAATAAGAGCAAACAGTGTTTGGGCAAAATCCCAAGGCATAATGCCTTAGGGTTATAATATTTTTCATAATAATCAACAGCCCCCTACGGGGTGTAAGCAGACAAAATGAAAAAACACCTGGCACAATAATGATGAACTAAACATAATGAGAATAATAGTGACAATGAAAATAACAAATAAATTTTTAGTATAATAATGGAATAAACTCAACTTTTTTAAAAAAGATCTGCAGTGTAAATTAACAAAGCACCTAAATAATTGGAAAGAGTAACATATTGAAATCAAAACTAGAAAGCTGAAATATGGGGAAGAGGAGGGAGGAATGCAAAAGACGATCAATTGGAAAAAATAGATGATTTTTTGACAATGGTGAACATAAATGGATAATGTCGGAAGTGGTAAACAGTGTGGTAAACCACAATCACATCATTTACGGGATACAAAGTAGAATCCGGCCACGTGCATGGCTTTGTGCCCAGATTTTTTTGGCAGTAAATTCGAATTCTGGGCCCGGACTTTTGTCCCTAAAATCAAAATTTACTGCCAAAATAATTCTGGGCACAAAGCTGGGCATGTGCCCGGATTCTACTTTGTATCCTGTAATTGACCACAGAACATGATAACCTGTAAAGTCTCAATCAATGTCAGTACAGTTACATGTGAAGAAGTCCAAATTATCCTGTTCCCTTTTGTTAAAAACAAGTTACCAACCACAAATAATTTCACCGGCATCCTAACAAGCTATCTGTTGACACACTGATCAAGCTCTACAACTAACTTAGTGGGTCACATCTCTTCATCAAGAGACACAATCCATTGTAGCAGAGCTCATTTGGGGTTGATGAGGACCTTCTTGTCTGGATGTTAATGAACTGTGCTCAAATACCCATCAATGTGAATGGGATGGTTGGTGGTTCCAACTAACTAAAAGAATAATGAGTGCCCCCTGTCAATTCCTCTGTTTCAATCAACCAGAGCCAGTGAGAAGATTGTGCAGTGGTGAAGCACAATATCACTTCCAGTTGGAATCAAAGATGTGAAAAACTGGTGATCCCAAAATCTTGTGTGACATCTTTGAGGTAGAATATGTGATTGAAAGCTTTGCAAAACTTTTGAAATTTCTTTGGAATTCACCTCATCTCCCGTCAAGCAAGCAAGCAATATATTAATCTTCTTAAATCCGGATTCACCCCCCAAAATCACTGAACCCTGCGTCAATTTGACAGGAATTCAGCATTTGGGCTGGTGAAACACCAGGATCTCTCCGCTTTTCACTTGAGGCTCACATAAGTGCAGCCGTGGGTAGCTTTGAACAATGCTGATTCAAACCATCAAATGACACCCTCTATTTACATTCTTTCATACACCTTATACTTGCTGCATCCTGTTCTAAATGACCACCCTGTGACTTTTCATCTTCCTTCTACATCACGATTCAGGGCCTTTAAATTTTAAGTAAAAATTAAAGTTGGTGAACCACCTTTAGAGGTGGTTCACCAATTTGTGATCTGCTAAGTTGTCTTAAAATTTATAAATCTCCACTGTGGCATCAGAAAAAAATCAGGCACAAAGGGCAAAAAAATACTTTTTTATCTTTTGGTTTCTTTTGGGTGTTCCTGGATCCTAACGGTTTTTGGTAAAAAAAAGTCAGTTTATCTGTCTTAATTGAGACCCGGCAAAACAAACCAATCATACTAGATAATTACATGATCAAACACGTCACAAGTATCTTGTGGTGCCTCAAAGATGTCTTTTTATTAAAAAAAATTGATGAAAAAAACCATTTCCTGACAAAAACAAGAGACATTAAAAAAAGAAAAAACAGCGCATTGGGAGACGGTGTACCTGAAAATACAAAGCCATAAAACCTAAATATAAGTGCGTTTGTAACTGCGCAATCAGGATTTTTAAGGATCTGACAACCCTAAAAAGGCTGATTGCGACTCTGCAAGCAGGTGGATCACAAGTCTTGACTTGAACTGCCCTATTGGTCAGGGATTGCTTTTTATAAACCCTACATGAGGACACGGACCATACTAAGGGTCCTGATACTGCCTTTGCGTTGAGCCTCTGCTACATTTAATGCAAGAGTCTGTCTTAAGTGAAAATGGATTGGGTGAAGTCCCAGGAAATGAAAACCACAAGACGACAACTCTGCCATGTCTAACAGCTTAGTCTACAAAGAGTGCAACAAGCCTAGCTTATCAAAACCAGACTCTTGCTACCGTTAAACTTTTGAGATACCAGTAATGGGCCTAGCGCAAGTAAAAGTGGGGGAGATCTCACAGGAAGTTTAGCTATGGCTTTTTTGCAGCCTACCTGTTGTTTGATACATCAGAGCATATGGCTGTGTAATAAAAAAAACATGTCCCCAAGTTAGGCAAATGCATTCTGGTGTTGAGCGGAAGTCAAGTGGAGTCCTGGACCTTTCAGAAACCTTCCAAGCATGGGTGCAAAAACGACTCTAACAATGTTTTGTAAGGCCGGTACGCTTAGCAAGCGGGCCCGCCTTTCCACAACTCCAAGCAAAGGGTGAAGCTCCTTTGCCCTGTTGTTTTGTGGTATCTGAGCAATGCCCAAGCACACTGGCGGTCAAGCAACACACTATGTATGTACCTTGTTAAATGTTTGGAGGAATTAATTTTCTTTATGATTGCTCAAAGTGCCTCCTGAGCCGTAGGGGCTATCAGGAATTGTAACTGCTTGTGCTCTGCTCTGGTGAAAACCCCTGTGAGCAAAAGGACACATACTCGCTGTCTAAAGTATCACAAGAGGACCCTGGAGAGCAGAGCGGATACCAATGAGTTGGAATACCTGCGCCAGCCAGACTATTTTTGGGTTTTCTCTCAAGCAGTCATTGAGGATATATGTAGTTTCCAAAACTTAAAGTTTGTCACACAGCCAGCATATTTGGCTCAGAGCCAAAAATCTGATGAGTCCTTGGATTTTGACTCCAAGTGAAGCACCATCCAAGGCAATGGCCAAGGCCAAAATTTGCCTTGGAATTATCCCTTGGGTTCCCTTTTCCTTGGGGGCGTCATCTGAGGCTTCCTTGGAAATTTGTCTCCGGGCCAAATATGCAGGCATGAGGGCTGATGTGAGCTTGGTTCTCAGTCAGAGAAATCTGTGAGAGAAATGAGAAGTGGTAAATTGGTTTGATCCCTTCTTGGAAATTATACAAGGTGTCAAAACATTGTTGGTGTTTTGAGAGGTACTGGTTGAGGTAAATGTGATTCAATCTTAGATGTCTAATAGTAGCACACTCATATTTCAGGAGTGGACTGAGCACTTTGAGGTGTTTTGTTGATGTGGGTTTGTGGTGTAGCCACTTGATGTCATAAGGCAAGATCGTGTTTTCATCCAGTTTTGACCACACTATAATAGTGGTAGGGAAGCCTGAAAGGGTTGGGGTGGAGTTAAAGATAATTGGCAAATCAGGCTTTGAAAAGTTATTAGCAATTTTGTCTACAATCTTGTTAGCTTTGATGTGGTAGGGACCTGGGAACCATTGTATTATGATTCTTGGTAATGGTGATCTAAAAATGCGAGAAGCTTGAAAGTCACTTCCATGTCTAAAAGAGAGGTGGTGTTGAGCGGGAAATTGCACAAGTCTTTTATGAACCACTGATAACAAGGATGATTGAAATCTTTCTTGTGTGTGTGATTGGTAATCTTGATGTGATTGTGATGCCAATGTGTATACCTCTGTACTTGGCTTGATATATCATGTGTAGGTGTACCTTACTTACTGTTATGAGCCTATTTGTGCTTATGCTACTATCTGAGTATGCTTGTACTGAGACACATTGTGTACTAGACTTTGCCCATCAGAGATTTTCCAATCTCTACATTGCAATCTTATTATAGTAGTTAGACATCCTTCACCTATAGACCCTTGATCACCCACGGTCTCACTCCTAACACTCACATACTGGGCTCTTGATTCATTGGTGTTTTGGCATCAAGCAGTTGCTGTGTTCTTACACTACACCAGATTATCAATATACTGTGTAGTCTAGGAAATTTCAATTGTGGAAAAGGGGGTGGTGCACCCTTATGCTAGACTTGGAAAATCTGAAGTGTAGAAGGTCTTCTTGGGCCTAATCTTGGGCTAGAGGAAGCCTATTACATTGTAATTATGGTCTCTTTTACTTTCAAGCCAGAGAAAGCCCTACAGATGAGCCCCACTTGGGATATTTTGCCTATTGATTGCTCATCTGAGTTGCAAGGCCCTTAACATAGTTCTTGAACAAAAGATTCTGTGATTGTTATCTTGAAAGTGTGGTCATCTTGACTTGAAACAGCTTCTCTCACATCCTCATTTGTGTTTGAGCTTCATCACAGCCTTGATTGCTGTTTCTGAGAAGATTTTTTCATGTTTCTAATGTTTTTTTAGCTTCAAAGGTGCACCCACACGCCCCCTGCTATCCAGGCGCGTCCCACAATGGATTCTGCGCCTGGGCGTGCCTCTCCCTGTCAAAAACATCCACCACCTGAGTGCCAGGGCCTTTGGATACATGGTCTCTAAACTTTTATAGGTTTCCTGCTGTGTATGGTGTGGTGAGCAGGACTTCTACTTAAGCAAAAAATCTAAAAATTATTCAGAAATTCATATTTTTGGTCAAAGTCAAAGTTATTATTGAAATTTTTATCCATCAAGGGTATCAAAGTTGATTTATAATCATCAATTTATTATCTTTTTAATCATATATTTATTACATCATTTGATAAGAACATTTAAGAGAAAAGAAAAATTCAAGTACATCTATAAAAATAGTATAAGAGTGAAAATTTGAAAATTTTAAAAGAATCAGTGAAAAGGGATTGGATGAAGAAGAGCATCTAGTTTGGGTCTTAAACAATGGAAAATGTTATGAAAAGAATGAAAGAAGGGAGATAACATTAGCAAAGTTGAAGGAAAATTCGAAAATATGGGTATGAAGAGTTGGAAAATTTAATTTATTATTATGAAAGTTATTGGTTCAGGAAGGTTTTACTATGAAAGAGAGGTACAACATTATTCATCAGCAACTTTGATCACGGAGATTGATAAGGGAGGTGTGAAACTATTCAAGAAAAGGGGTATTTCAAAAAAGGGTACTATGGTATTAATTCCTGTGTAGTGATGTCATTGAAAGATTGATTGCGCCAAGAGTTTCATCAGAATGATTTTAGAGCTATATGGGTGATTGGAATGACGTAGGGTGATCTTTTGATAGAAGAGAAATCATTATTAGACGTGAAAAAAGTCAAATTTCATCAAAAATGGAGGGTTTCAGTTAATTACATATGTTCAAACCTGTCAGAATTGGGTGTGTGATAGCTCATTCTACGCGGAATCATTAGTTTCATAATGTACAACCTTTAAATGATTAGTAACGGAGGAGTAGTGAAAACTTTATAAGGAACAAAGAAACTGGAGTGAATTTCAAATTTGGTGGTTACATACAACATTTACATGACAAAAGCTTATTTTCTCAATCTTTACAGCTCAATAACTTATTCATCACACATCAGAAATAGGTCATAAGGGGGTGATAAATGATCAGTATCACAAGGGCTATCAAATGAGCTATAGTAATCCAAAATTGAACACCTTTACAAAAAATTTGTAATTCCAAAAATGGATTTCAGCTATGAATATTAGGAAAAAATCACCTGTATTCATCATAAGAAGATCTGTTCATCATTTTAACATCAATTTATCAAATTCACGCCTTGGATCATTAAAAACAATAATATTCATGACATCATATGGTTACATTGGAGGATTTCTGTTGATTTTTGACGGTTTTTGAAGGTTTTTGGAGGTTGTTGACCATTATTGAGGATTGTTGGAGTGCTATATACTATTGTTAGGGAATTTACATGCCTTTGTTCCCCTTTTTACTCATCTTATACCTTTGTTAGAGTGTTTTTAATCATTATTAAATTACTTTAGCAGTACTAAGTTCACTAAATTGCCCCTTTAGATCAAAGGAGAGATTTCTTTACGTGTGATAAGACTACAAGTCTTCTTTGGAATAAGAATCTAATTGATTGTTGCTTTGCTAGTAATTAAAATTGTGTTTTGTTGTGCTCAGATTGGAATAACACTATAGCAGTGTTGAGGTTTCTTTATTTCTAAAACTCACGGGAATAATACTTGACTTAAGTATTGAAAACAATTTTTCTGGTGCCTTATCCCAAAGAATTCAGAAAAACCCCGTGTTGATTCTTTCAAAGAGGCAGTCTTAGGCAACTTCTACTAGTTAGTCATATTAGTAGATTATCCCTCTTTAAGCTCTGTAAAGCTCAACAAGAGCTTCAAGTTCTACAACAAGAGTATGTCTCTTAGAACACAATTAAAAAGGTGATCAATTTGAAGTAAAATGATAAGACTGTCATCCTACTTCAAGTGAAGCATTCAAAGGAGCTGGTACACCTCATTTTTTCTTTTTGACTTTCAACTGTATGAACCATTTCTCATGAAGTAGTTAGTTGCAAGGAGTGAATGGATGATGGAAGTAGAGAAGTTTAGTAAAGCTAAAATCTGAAGGACTGTGTGCATCTCACAATTGAGTAACTGATGATGATGATCTAAAGGATAAGTTGTTTCTGCATCAAAAATGAATTTATTGCACATTGTGTGATACAATAGTTCACCACCATTCCTAGGAACACAGGATTATGTATTGTTCATGGCCCCACAGCTTCTATGACAGGGCTGTTAGTGACTTTCCAGTTTAACTTGTATCACTCAAGCATTCAAGATTCCTCAATTGATTGGTAATTAAAGAATTGAATGACAATAATCAACAATTTTTCTCATCTCAATCAAATCACCCAATAACCTTTACATTAAATCAGGCAAAACTCACACCATTAAAAAGACAGAACCCATGATATTTTAGGCAAATATCAATCATGTTTCTGATCCATTGACCATTAATCCATCCCATCTATGTTTTTGAATGTTTTACAATTCGTTGAAACTGAAATTTTAGACTCCTCTGGACCTGGTGAGAGTGAATTGGTATTGCCGCATTGGAACCACACAGTCCTCACAGTTACATGGAAATGTAATTCATAGTTCAACTGTTGCGGGCATGCCCGCATCTTTGCTAGTTTAGAACAAGGTCTGATATTTCAAAAGAAAGACAACAAAATCCTTGGGAACAGCATTTGGCTTGTTGACCATTAAACCTGTCGAGCTCCAGCTCTCGGCTCCTTCCAAATCCTTCTTTGTGGTTGGATCCCGGATGCTGAGCTTTTGCTCTAACAGTGACCACCATCAGTCAGCGATAAATTAAAGAGGAGCGTCCTCCTTGTGGCTTCGTGGGCGTGTCCATGAACTACCGTATCGCTTGTTATGTACATACGTGTAGTACGTGTTTTGGCTGATTTGTGGATCGAGCTTTCTTGGTCCACTATTCCAGGAGGGCATCTTTCAAGCCCTGCAAACATGCGTGATCAATTTCTGTGACCTTTATCCGCACTTGATGAGGATGAGTAAATCGAGCGACTCGCTTAGTATCAGCCAGCCCCTTTTCGGTCAAGGCATCAATATCCATTGGCCACAGGTCACCGATCGAGAGTCGGGGTATATCCTAATCTACAGCTGTACATCAAGTAGTTGGGCAACCAATGGCTAGTCTGATGTACATGATCGATACCCGCGCTGGATACACAATCCGCGGATGCAGTCTCATGTCTTCTTAGTCTGGCGCTTCGTTGCTGGCTACCTATTCTCATATAAATGCGCAGGCATTCTTTCAGCTTGTTGGTGTCGGTAACACGCAGAGGAAGCAGTCATCCACAAGATCATCCTCTTATATCGCACCTCGATAGCGGCCTAGACTAAGCTACTTGCAAGGCAAAGAACCAGTGAATCGGGGTAACTTGATGTTTAATGAGATAGGAATCCCATTACCGTGCTTGAATCAGTCCGTGGTTTTTTTGGCGACTCTCAAGTCGGTTTACGGCTTAATCCGTTTCCTTACGTTCGATAGTGATAGGGCAGCAGGTGAACCGAGATCATCCCACGACGCGAAACACATGGCTTTAGACGACCAACAGAGTTCGACCGTCGAATTTAGGAAGACAAAAGTGCAAAGTTGCTCCCGAAAGTCAGCATCCATAGTCTTCCAAGTCACACATCCTGTACCACTCGTGAAGGCTGGATGGGATCGATGGGCATACCTCGGAGCAATGTTCGTACTGGAAACAATCATCTGGGTAAGTAATGATCAGAAAGGTGTTCGGAACATAAAAGGCAGAGGCTTATTGATATTGTTTGCTTGGTGCTATCAGGGCTTTGCAAGCTCTTATGGAGTCCTCCTGGATTATTATCTTCATTCCGATTTCGCCAAAGAGCCCAGAGCCAATTTTCTTCTCCCTCTGGTAGGGACTATCAACACAGGCCTGATGGCACTTCTAAGTGCGCCGAACTAAGCAAAGCAATGTTGCTCTGATCACTGATTAATTCGCTCATATTCAAGTTCCATTGGTTTCAGTCATCTTAAATCGCTATCCAAGTATCAAATCCAAAACAATGTTTCTTGGCTTGATCATCACATCACTAAGTTTGCTCCTCTCTAGCTTCTCAAAACACGTGAGCTTGAGATCGGGTTGTTCAACATCAATCCACAAACAACGGGTGCTGACATCGTGTTCCTCTACGCGTACCACTCACGCTTTCCTGTTCAGAGCATTCACGTCCTGTTGACAATGGGAGTTGGCTACGGAACAGGAGGTGTTTTGGTTTATTACCCAGCGGTACGTACAGAATGGCAGTAGAATCAGTGTCTCACATAACCGCCTTCTCAAATGAGTGCACCGTTTTTATCCTATATCTGCCAGTTAACCTACCTCCCGGAATGGTTTCCTGATCGGCCAGGACTTGCCAATGGCATAGTTTTTTCAGGTATGCAAAGGGCTTCTTGCTTCATGTCCTTGAGATAATACAAATGAAATAGCTCTGGGTAGCTTAGGCAACGGACTGGGGGGACTCGTATTCCCCTACATCATCGAGGTACTACTAGTCAAGTGTGGCGTGAAAGCGATGCTGAGGTACCTAGTAAGTTGCACACGTTTTTTCTTCTCCGTTCTCTTTGAAACTGACGCACACTTCAGACCTTGATTGTCACGATATCCATTGGAACGTCTTTATACTTCATACGCTCCGCTAAAGAAGCCTCCGATGTTGAGAAACTGGAAGGAGAGACGATTTTCAAAACATTAGGAGATCCTCGTGCCCTCAAAGCAGGTGCTTTGTGGGTGTACCTTTTAGCAAACATACTCGAGACTTTGTCATATTTTATTCCTTGCCTTTATCTTCCCAGTGAGTCTCTGAATTACATTCAATAATGCACATAAACTCAAACACATGATATGCTTAACTCAAGCCGTGAACTCTTCTAGATTATGCTCACTCGCAGGGACTTCCAGCATTATCGGGGACCACGCTTCTGGCTGCCATAAATAGTGAGTGCCATGGCTGAGTACCCAGAGAGCTGCCACAATCATTGAAACTTTTTTCTGATAGTTGCAAATATAGTCTCCCGGATTATCTTTGGCCCGTTATCGGACCATTTTTCCACTCACTTAATCGGCGGTACCACCAGCCTTGTCGCGGCAGCTTCCGTAGTCGGCTTCTGGGGACTCTTGATCAACGCCGGCCTACCCGGTTTAATTGCCTTTTCAATCATTTTTGGGGTTACCTCAGGAGCTTGGACGAGCCTTTTCTTTTCAGTGATCAAAGAGTGGAAAGGTGAGATAAATTTTCATGTGCATCTCCTATCATAGATACTGATTGCATTTACTTGAAACCTGCAGTCGATGAACGAACGACATTGACGATATATAGCTTCTTCGCTTTGACTAGAGGTCTAGCTAACATCATCGCGGGCCCCATCTCGTCTGCACTATTGCGAAGCACCACTCCCCATGCGTCAAGTCGGGGGTTCTCGAGTGATTATTCGAGAGCGATAATTTTCTGCGCAGCTACAATGCTATCAGCTGCGGTCATCGAAGCAGGCCTATACATTCAGCAGCTCTGTCACCAGAAACGACAAAAGGCTTTTGAAAATTCAGCTCCTTTCGAGTGAATTGCCAGGCGTGCGTTGAGAAGTCAAATAGATGTGGGATAAAAGACTGTATAATTATCATGACGATATGAAGAATTACCATACATTTCTCAAAAGATGGGTCCATGTTAGAAGAAGTGGATACATTGCGTCCATAGTTGTAGCATAGACTCCAAGTGATTATAGTGTAAAAAGGCCTTGAAACGTGCTGTCTCCGAAAAGAATATCAACATTCCTGTTATGAAGCCGGGAGTTGCTCAGAATTATGGGGAGTTATTATTGAGCCAAGTTGGAAAGTGGCCCCCAATCATAGATTTTGAGATAATAAATCCTTGTCATTTCATTTCCCTTTTAAACTCATGACATTGCTCTTCATTTCTCTTATGACGTGTATCATGTCGTTTCCTTCTTCATTTAATTTGTATGCACCACGGTTGTATGATCATTAGAAACAATAAGACTGAATGTTTCTCTCTACAATTGTAGCTCTCTTTCTCATTCATTCTTACCTGTTGTCTTTTGTGCCACAAGATACTGCTTCTTTTCAGCACACTTGTGTTCTCTACTGTCTTACTGAGAACTCTTCACATACTTCCAAAGACTTGACCTTCTATAATAGATCCTCATCCTTCAGTTTGAATCTTGAAGTATTGGTCTAGTTCTGGCGGCATACTCAGGACAACTCACACTGCCAACATAGATGCCTTGGGTTGCGGAATCCGAGGCATCATCGGAGGTAAATCCTTGGACAGAACCTGTCCAAGGTTTTTTTCCAAGGTAATCTTCTGCGCTGAGAATTGCCTCGGAAAACCCTGGACAGAAGCTGTCCAAGGTTTGGAATCCAATGATACCTCGGATTTTTCAATCCGAGGTGAATATGTTGGCGGTGTCAGCACCTTGTCCAAGATCCCTGATCAGCAGGCTCCAAGGCACACCACTGAGGATCAGCTGAGCACCTCAGATGAAGTGAGCAGATGAGCCAGCCCTCCCTCAAGCTTCTTTGCTAAGGAGTGAAGCCTGAGGAATGCCTAGTTCATCTTCTCAGGTCCTGTTTTGCTCAACTCCCGCTGTACATTGCTGGAGAGTGAATCATTTTCATCAGTCTCTCAGATGAGTACTCAGAATCAGTTCATGAGTCACTGCATACTCAGAACAGCTCAGTACCTTGTCCAAAACCCCGGATCAGCAGGCTCCAAGGCATGCTGCTGAGGATCAGCTGAGTAGCTGAGATGAAGTGAGCAGGTGGGCCAGCCCTCCCTTGGGCTTCTTTACTGAGGAATGATGCCTGAGGAAGGCCTAGTTAAACCACTCAGGTCCTGTTCAACATGCAATCAGCTGACAAGCAGCACTGCCAACATAGATGCCTTGGGTTGAGAAATCCAAGGCATTATTGGAGGCAAATCCTTGGACACACCTTGTCCAAGGTTTCTATCCAAGGTATTCTTTTGCACTGAGAATTACCTCGGATCAATACCTTGGTTTGAAAAATCCAAGGTGAATATGTTGGCAGTGCAGGAAGAAAACAGGAAGAAAAGGGAAAGAACTTGGAAGGAAAATTCTCATATGCACAATACAAACATGTATTTTAGCTCACAAGAGAGCAGGAGCACACAAGGGGTACAGATGCAAGCCTGTCCAAGACAACTTCTGGTACAGCAGTCAAATATGGGGTGAGTACATGAGTTAAATTGGTAAAAAATAATCCAGTTGCTAAAATTTTAGCTCCAAGGTGTCCATGTTGTGTTTTGAGAATTATCCTTTTGACTTTTCTTAGTTTTGACTATTTGTTTTCTAATGTGTGCCTACAAAATAATAGCATAAACTGATGATTTGTCCTTAATTACTCACAACCCTGTTTTACAATGCACTAGACCTAACCATGAGATGTATGGCTAGCTTCAGTATATCAATCTTGTCTCAAGAAAAATCTTCGGTGTTTTCTTCTTCTTTCATCTATCAACTTTTTCTTCTACACCTCCTAATCATTCCAAATCTCTATACAGACTCTCTTTGATCATTGTAGGTTATTTTACTGATCACGGTTGTCTGATTGGTCAGGGATCTAAGTTTCCTATAGTTAGTCAAGGGTTTACTTTCATTGATGATATATGACTAACTCCAAGACAGCTCATGATAGAATGCAGCAAAATGGTGGTGGTATATTCACAAGGCTCATACATAAAGGGTACTCAAAGCAAGTTTGTGGTGCTACATATGTGGCACCACATACTTTCAAATTTTGTTTTTGAACGGCAAAATAACCTAAACTGACATTTTTACTCACACAATTTGCCAAATATAAGTCAATATGTGCTATTCTTTAACTCGTTATGGTATTTTCCAGGTCAAAAATGAAATCTGAAAAGTATGTGGTGCCACATATGTAGCACCACATACTCACTTTGAGTACCCTTATACATAACAGTCTTCTCTATTTACATGTCGAATCTTCACATCATTGTCTTAAATAAATAAAAGCATATAGCATCAAGCTGCAATGATAATTGAACACAAGGAGAACACAGGTGGTTCATTGACCAATATCCACCATAGGTGGGTTGTCTGGAGACCCTCAAGACTCCGATAAGCAGTTCTGAGGATAATGTGAAATACATCTGCAATGCACCGTTCCCTAAATTGGACGGAATTTGATCGACACACCCAGAATTTTTGCGTTTGTCGGCCATTTGTGATGATGGCACTCGAGATAGGTCCAGGAGGTTATCATATGCGTGGCACTTTGGCGACATCCCGGCAAGCTGATAAAATCCCATCCTTCTTGACACGTTTTCGCATGTCTAAGCAGCATTTATATGTTCATCACAGAGAATAACAAAGTTTTCACCATCAATCTCTTTACATGACTTGAAATTCATTTTGAGAATCATCATAGTGAACAGTAACACATTGTCGACAGACCTTCTGGTTCAAGATCACATACGGCCAGACTCACGATGCACTCCGCATTTGCATCAGCTGGTAATATACTGTCAGTCCAGGATGTTCAAGTCAATTCAAATATATCAAACGATCAGCCCAAACGGTACAAACGAACAAAGCCTAGAAGTATGGCGATGGATGAACTGAAAAATGACTAATTCACCTATTTTGATACGGATCATATGCATAAGTAAGGTATTTTTGTTGACACTTCCAAGAATGGTTCACGACGTATTCGGTGGTGATGTTGTATTTTGCTGACACAAGATATGCCCACGGGAATTCAGTTACGAGGTCACCCTTATCTGATCGCACAATGTTCATCATGCTGTCGAAAGATCGAGTTTAACTTTTAGTTCGGAGAAAATCACATTTGTTTCGCTGCAGTAGATCACAATCTGAATCATACGCACATTCCATCAGGATCGCAGTATGATAAGACATGATCACCTTCATTGGATCCATTGGGTCCTCCTTTGGTACAAGGATCCTAGCAGCGAATTCGGAATTGAAATTTATCTTAGTACGGTGGTTCCACTTTGCCATTTCAGGCTACAAGGTATCAAAACCCTAAACATATGAATCCGCATGGAATTTGCAGGATGTGAAAATACTTTTAAGCGTCCTTATGTTATCATTGGAACTTACACTTCCACGGACAATGAAGAATTTCTTCCGATGACGCCCAATTCCGAAAGAATTTGTAGAAGTCAGTAACAGACCTCTATCTCAAAAACTTGACCCGCGTGAATTGAGTCATAGTTTCGGGGACAGTAAGATATTAGAATAGCGTGGTTTAAGAGGGGCTAACCTTTGCCTTCCAGATCGCTGCGAGCAAACGAACTCCAGCAACGTGAGATATAGCAGCCTGAAGGTCGCCCTCTGCCAACTCATCGGCCGAGAAGTGATTATTGAGAAAGATACCATCCTTCAGAGCTCCATACAGTCCATCTGTTGAACTGATTCCTTGACGTAGTGCTGACGCTGTTCCGTTGGAGATGGTCCCCTGTGTGGAAGCTTGGGCTTTTGACAGAAGGTAGCTGATGTCGGTGGTCTTATTTTGAGATCGGGCGCCGTCAGTATCATCTCTTGGCAGTGCGGTGGAAGTGATAGGATTAAGAAGTAATGCAATGTTAACTTTTTTCTCACCTTTGAAAATTCGTCTGAGGGTAGATTTGCATAGATGTTGTGGTATGTCCACGCCATACCACAAATAAGGCCTGTTCCACCCTGTACAAAAGGCCATATCTTTGCACCAAAGAACGCAAGCCCTTCTGGGTATAAGAAACCCGGTATAGCTCCGCAAAGACCAGCTACCAGCCCGAGAAGGGTCGATTCGATAGCAAGACTGTCGGATTCATGGGGAACAATATCGCTAACCTAATTAATTGAGGAGTTATAGCTAAATTAATAGAGAGCATCATCGAAGAAAGACGTAGAATGTAAAACCAAGACACTTACAATGGAAGTAACTAGTCCTAAAGTATGGGGGAAATATCAAGTCAATCATCACACAACCTCAGGATGTGAATGCAAGGGGTACGAAGATGAACATATCGATAGCTGGATATTACCCTGAAGGATAGATATAGCATAACCAGTTGCATCATACATCATGTTAGAAAATTGATTCCAGTTCTGAACGGCAACAAGTATGTACCAATCTGGAGCACGAACAGGCATGCAGATCTATCAATCAAATCACCAAAGAAGGCATCAACACTGATCGGTCTTGAGTAAAAATTGCGCATCAACGGAGACGGAGACGAACGGGGGTTCGACAAAAGACTCACCTGGTTTGCGTTGCACGTCTTTCCTATTCCGCACACAAAATTTGTCGCCCCGACCTTCTCGGCGTATTCCTGTTTAGCCAAAAAAAAATCGCTTGATGAATAGAGTAGAATTCCTGATCTTGAGCGATGAGATCATTACCTCCAATGTCAGATTATTTCCGGATGGATATGTCCTCAGGTATTCGTCAAGTCCCAGTTGCTCCCATAGATCAGGTGTAAGCGGAAGCTTTGCACATGGGTCTTGAAGTGTCATATTATTCTTGCCAGATTGGTGAAGCGGTGTAGATGAATTCTGAGCATCTGGTGCCACAGCGGCAGCAGATGTGCGGATAGGTGAGTCACTTAGACTGACGTGAATTCCATGCAGAATGATGAGCCAGTAGCTGAGGTGGTAGTGACTCTCGATCCAAAACAACATACTATGACTATGAGCTTAGATGTAAAAGAAGATGCATCAGTTTTGCTGGTAGATGGCGTCTTTCTAATGAGTGTCTGGCTGGCTTGCAGAGGAGTATGATATAACTTCCGGATTATATAAGGTTTAAGCTAGTCGACTATCGTTCTGTACCGAGTGTGGGGTGGATATATAAAAGCGTGAATACTCAAGGAACAGCCCGGAGGCGAGCTGACTGCGTCTTGCAGGCAATCAGCTGAGGCATGCATAAAGCTGCGAGAACAGGTTTGTTTTGTGTGAGCGAGGAGCTGAAGCAAAATGCTCTTGTTCTGACAGATACAGTCGGGGATTCAGTTTTTTTTACCGCAGAGGTCAGTTATGTCTCACACCGCAGGGTGTCAAACGGTATACGGTCAACCTTCAGTTAGTCCCTGAAACCTATCAGTTTTTCTACTGACTGGCAATCGCCAGGAAGCGTGCGTGGGGTAGGAAGTAAGAAGCGGTTGTGCTTCGTCGAGAGTAGGATGAATCCCGGACTTCAACTTTTCTGAAGCCTCGTGCAAACACGATGATGTTTTGTGGAGTGTGAATTAAAGCAGAGTTGGGTTGGAACTGTTCCGTGCAGGTATTGATAAGTATCATCATACTTATCGAGTTTGCCTGTCTGCCGTATCATCCCGTTATGGTAGGGGAAAAGCCTGGAAATGCCACATTCGGCTTCAAGGTGCTTTGAGTTTGAGTCTTGAGACGACGTTCAACGAGCTTCATGATATCGATTGTCAGATAAAGTTGACCATTTTTTTTAAAAAAAAATGGCCATTGTATGCGCTGTTTATCTATACCCGGGACCGACTCCTTTACGCATACCGGGTATGGCTGATACAAATCCAGACTCGTGAGAGATCGAGGATGAAAGATGATAGATCATGAATAAATCATTTTACAAGCTTTTTTCGTATAAGAAAGCCCTGTCCGTCATCAAATGCCATCCCAAAGACATCATACATACATACATCCTTGCTCAGACTAGATGGCCGACTTACAAGGCAAACCAAGCTCATCATCCTCAACTCGCATAGAGAGTATGATGCAGTAAATCAGAAAAGCACTTGGAAAAATTGTGCAAATCGCTACCGAGACTTATAGCAACCCCGACGAGTGCACAGAGGGTTTACAAAAAAAATCTGCTCTTAGCGACCTAATATGCGCCGCGTCCAAGGAATTGCTCAGAATGTGATCCATCTCTAAGCACAAAGATGTTCACCTTCGAGGGTAGTGACAATAATTAGATATCCATATACCCTCATCATTAGTGTTGAAGATGACAACAACGACATTCAGTAATAATTTCATGGACCACATGCATGTATCAAATGAACAAACAATAAAAAAAATTGGACGAGGCTGCGCGAAAAAGAAGGGTTTTACATGCTATAAAAGAGCCCGACGACGTGAGTGCAGAACGATTCCTGGATGTTGAAAATACAATCAAAATAACACTTGCGCCAAGTTGAAAGGCGATATGATGTAGAAAAGTAGGTGAATCAGGATAAGGTAAATGGCATGATCAGTATAACAAGAAAAATGGTTGCAAATCCAATATTGAGATTTTGGAATGCTGAAAGCTTAGATGAACATGAAGTGAATGACTGAGATCTGTCTGTATCGGGATTGCTACAAAGATAAGGAGCCGGAGCGAGTTTAAGTGACGTTGGGGGGTTACTTGTGATCGGTAAGGTAATTTGAGCACTAGAAAGACGAAAGATTTAGCTTGTGAGGGTAGATAATATGACTAATGCGTAGCAAGACGAACCGAATGCCATATTTGATGTCTGTCGAAATCATGCCAGCTTGCGCTTGCCACACCTCTGATTGAGCTTTGAAGATTGGATCATTAGAGTTTGAGACTACACCGCCTGATCGCATGTGGTCCAGTAAATCAACCATATTGTAGGTTTCCAAACTCTGTTGAAGAGAAAACGTACCAAATGATGTCTGATAGTCTGACTGGTTGAGAACCTGGGAATTGATGCGGTCGGGAAAAAATATCTGACCAACTGAGGCGACTGCCCAGCTTGCGTCCGAGTCGAGGGTACGGTTAAGATTGTGCTCAAACCAATCGGTGCGAATGACTTGGATGTTGAGATACAGATCGAGTTGACATCCACATTCAGTTTGAAAGCAGATTCAAGACTTACGGGCATTTACATGTGGCGGTCTTCCCCCTGTTCGTCAATGAATTGATGTGGGTATTAGCGGATTGTGTGATGTGGATGAGAAAACACTTGTCGATGATCCTTACCCTGCGAGCCAGGAAAAATGGTGACAAAACTAGCCACACCCTCTGGATCTAGATAGAGAAGAACCTTTCAGACACTCTTGGAATTCACAGGTATTAATGGAAATAACAAACTTGTTTCGATCGCTCCTCTTCGAGAAGAGGAGTTTCTACAATCTTGGGGATCAGCTTTTTCCTCAGGATAGACTCCATGGGGGTCTGGACCTGATATTTTATCCTTCAATGACCTTTCGAATCACAAGCAAGGAGTCACCATGGTTCAAGCCCTGCAAAAAACTCACTCCAAATCTCGACTAAAGCGTTTTCGAGAGGTGCACAGGACACCGAGTCCAGTAATGTGATCGCCAGCTCTAACCTGACTCCGCTTTCTTTTGGATCTTCGATCAAATTGGAACGAATGTATATGTTTCTAAAGCCATTGAAGTTATTATCAGCGTTTTTTATATTATGGGAATGCGACTTCAAAGCTGAGAAATTCTGACTGAACTTGAGATAATCATCACCTTGAATGATTTGTGGTGTAATCGTCCATCCGGGCTACGAGATCAGTAGCGCAATTTAGCGTCAATGAATTTTACATCTCCTCAGAGAGAGAAGTCAAGCATAAAGACTGACTCGATAGTCCGTGTTCAATCTCGGATCGATCGGCGCAATTGCGCGTATGGTCGCAGTGCAAACAAAACCTACTGCAAGACGCAAAACTCTCATAGCTTCATGCTTTGATAAGACAGGATAGTTTTCAGGCGGGAACGATTGGCTTCGAGAAGCGAATATCTAAATACGACGAGCAGCTTGACAAGATAGAATGATAAGTTGCAACGGTAGATGATTGCTACTGCTTACAAAACGTCTCCGAGAGATACATTCGATATATGCGCAAGGATCAAACGCGTCGGGGCGAAGATTTGGTTTCAACCCTTGAGCCCTGGGGAGCATCGGACTTTCGGATTCCTTCTGATAATTATCACATGATAATTATCATGTGATAATACAGCCCCCTCTATAGACATCGCTGGGTATAGGCATACCCGTTTACCCAGTGTCCCGAACGGATACCTGCTGCGCACAGGGCCTTCACGCCCCGTGTGCCTCCAGTCTTGCACCTCTCCCAAACCATAGCTGTGACAGCCACACGGTTTTTTTTTGCACTTTCGCCAACTTCGTCACCTCGACTTTTTTCATAGATGAAACACGAAAAAAAAATTCAATCGCCAGTATATCTTTGCTATAAAAATGTCACCATCACCATCATACGCCAGGCATCCTTATTCAGGACTCCCATCCACTCCAACATGCCGGACAGCCCCTACATCGGCAAAACATATCGACGAGTGCCACCGCACGACAATCTACCTCTACCCAGCCCGGGCCTTGGAGTGCAGGTCGGTCTGTCGTGTCCAAGCTGTCCACCTTCAAACAATCGGTCGCTAGTGTATTTTTTTGGTGGCGAGGACTACATCAAAGTCAAGGTAAGACCATATTCCCTTCTTCACTATATTTTTTACGCAATGCTGATGATTAAGTTCTGACTTGGCTTATCAGTGTGAAACAGTGCCAAAGCATTACTACCGAACTTTTAAGCTCAATCAGCTCAATCACGAGCTTGCGTTGATCAACGCTGGTCACAAATACCCCATCCCCTTCGACGCTTCCGCTCATGGCCCCCCCGTGAACCTTCAGGGCGCTGTTGTGCCTGCGAAGCCCAGCAAAAAGACCAATGCAGCAACAACCTCAACTACAACGCATCCCAAACGTGGTCCCCCCTCTATCGAATGTGCTCGCTCAGCCGAAGGGCCAACCTCAGGGAAACATAAAAAATGGGGACATATTGGATGTACATTACAGTATTGCAAATCGGTGAGTTGTTATTCTTTTCAATTGTTAGATTATCCAATCTAACAATACTTCTGTTCTTGTCTTCACCCTCTTGCCAGTGCTGTGTTGCGTATGGCACACCTGGAAGCTGCTATGTCCATCGACCAAAACCCGCCACCACTACTGCCGCACTTGCCGGCCAAGCTACTACCCCCCCCGCTCGCAATCATCTTGCCCATCCTGCCGAATTGCCTACGACTGCACCTGCACACCATCATATGTCCCCTCCTGCCGAATTACCTAATGCAAAGCGACCCCGGCTGATCCCCCAGTGCTCTCAAAGCATCCACCGCGTAGGAACCATCCTCGATGATGACGGTTCCTTGGTGCTCCGTAGAGCTCGACAGTCCCAAGCAGACGCTTTGATGCGGGCATCAAAACCTTCAGCCAACGAACATAAGGTGATAAGCCTTCATCTAGTTACAAACGTACGATGTATTCAAATTCCCTTTCAAATTTTCTTGATGGGCTGATGTGGACTTTATTTTCAGGAACCACGTACGCCCGTTATCTCGCACATATTTCCAACTTGGCCACTCGCCACTTTGGATGAATGTCCATCACTTCTACGCCAGGCCAAAGAGGCTGCTGGTGCACTGTGGGATGGCAGCCTGCTCATCTGGGACGAAGAGATCAAAAATTGGGTATGTAGGGTGATCTAGTATATGGTTGTAAGCGCACACTAACTTCACACTTATTCTCTAAATCCTCCTGTAGCGCGAGGTTCCAGTGACACTGGAACATAGATACATCCAAACGTGTCGAAACCTAGTTATCTGTGTCCCCAGCCAACGTGTGGCCCTCACTCAAGAGCTTCAGGACGTGTTAGAAGGACTTGGTATGGGGAAACCGGTTGTACCTAAATATCCAAAGGTATCAAGTGGTACAACTGCAACCATTGTCAAAAAAGAATCAAACATTAATCAAGCCTTGGCCTATCAAACATCGTCGCAAAACATTTATGGGTCTTACTTGGACCCGATATGTTTTCTTTCGGATTCGGACTCGGACTTGGACTTAAACTCCAACTCACACTCAGAAACCCCACCGAATCGGCTGTCCCCACAGCCATCCTCATCATCAGCAGGTCAACAACAAGGCCACCCTTCCACCCCTGAAAGCGAAATCATCTCACCTTTAGCTAGTGATGAACAAGAGGTATGCGAACACCTAATTCTACATCAGCTTTGTCATATTGACCGACATCACACCTGTTTTGGCCAGATTGATGTAAAGCCCCCCTTAAATAACAACATTGAAGGGGGACCAGTATCGACCACATTATTACGAGAGTGGCCAGGGGAGGATGTATTGTTTTCTTCTGTTCTTGATTGGTACCAGTCCGCCCCCCGTCGTGGCACTCGAATCCCCCAGTGGATCGTTTTTTTTGGAAATACACACGAGTTGGAAGTGCCCACAGCTTACCACTATTTCGCCTGGGTCAAAAAAACCGGATACGACCGAATGATGAATTGGCTTAAGAGCTGGCCAGATGTTGGTGAGATCAACCAGCATAATGTCACTGTCAGTCGAGCGCGGCGAAATTTTCAGGCCGAGTTCAATGAAGTCTGTCGGCTAAAGGCACCCGTAGTCTCTGCAGCGCGCAAGCGTGGCATAAAGGGTCCTCGTGGCAAGTGATTCAAAAGCAATTCCACACCTCGCCTACCCAAAAACTCACAGGAAATTCTGAAACGCCAAAAACCTCAGCTCACACTTTTTCCTTTGGCCTATTGTCTAATCAGTGCAAGTTGGTTTTTACAAAACCATTCCAGCACGCAACGACTGCCATGGCCAACAGAAGGGTTTCAGTTGGGTATCCCAATCTCGGAATATTCCTGATATTCATGACTGCAACCGTTGTTACTGCCTTGTTACGTGTCTTTGTGAGGGTGCAACATAATGTTTTTTCCCTTTGTGATCAACTAACAAAGTTTTTTGGCTTGGCCTGTTTGTCACTCATATGATCTCATTTTTTCATTTGTATTCCTTGGGTAATCGAAAACAGTTTTTTTTTCGTTACCTTACGCAACACTGCATTGCACACTTTGTCCAACCTCGCAGCCCCAAGCAACCCTGAGAATCATTCCACTACAGACTCACATTGGATGATAGGTACCCACAAAAAATTCACGCTCATGATAAAACCTGGACGTCGTTTGTTTTTTCAGGGTGTTCCGTCTCTATCTATATATCTCTATCTCAGTTTACCTCTTAGTCAACTATTGATTGTTTTTGGCGGCATCTAGGACTGACTCAACTTGCACTCGAATTACCTCATCAAGATTTCCCGCCCAACCAATGAATCTATATAAGAAATTAGGCTTTGGTGGTTTGTCTAGTTGACCTGATCTTTTTGAACCTTACCGACTTTGCTCACTCACCTTTTTTCTCAGCTTACCACGCATCAAATATTGCAAACTCCGAGGCCCTTGGCTGGAATGCTCTACCTTATGATCAACCAGACAATGACTCTCACGATGTGGTTTTTGCCTTAGTCCCACGCGATGGGGAGCCGGTTCAAGATGTCGACAGCTACAAGTGGGGTTTCCGTAGTGGCAATGTCAATGTTGATGTCAACCAAACTGAATACTACAACGATTCCCGTTTGGACGGTCGAACAACTTACCCAGCAATCTTGTATCAACGTGATGCAAAGATACAGCATCTAGATGCTGTTGCCTTGCCATCATCAAAAAATGACATATTCAATCACCTACTCTTCGCCCAGATGCTTATCCACGCCGATTGCCTCCTACAAGAATTCAAGCTTGTCGTTCAAAAACGGGTATGCTTGAGTACAGTAGAAGAAAGCATTTTGGATGGTTTGCGGGTGAGACGTTACGCAAGCCTCTTCTGCATGACTGATAAACTAACTAACTGTCCCCTTTGTTTTTCGTCATCATGGTTTGCTTCAGATTGTTCAAAATGTAGTGATGAAGCAGGGAAATGATTGGTTCAACCTGCGTGAACCACTTGAAGAGCATCCGGCATACATCACCTCTGATTGCGAGTTCCGCCCTTGGAATCGTACAGAAACTTTTCTGGGCCGTCTTTTGCACTGCTTCACCCACTGGACATACGAATTTCACCACCGAAAGGCGCTGCTCTGTGGGTTCCATGGATCTGATGGTATCATCACTGAGGTTGCCATCATGGATCAAGCGTAAGTAATTCATCTCAGGGATATCGTCGTTGGTTCTCTGAAATTTGCCTTGACCAAATTGATTTGCATTTCCCTCCTTTAATAGGCGTCCATGGTTTCTCCAAAACCCTTCAACGAGTGGACTGCAACTATTCACATCAACTCACGTTTGTGACAGTTTATGCGATGATGTAGGTTTGACCCCACCACCACCTTTCTATTCAGTGGATGGGTCATGATCATGATCAGAAATTGAGTGATGGTACATGGAACATGGACCTGATGATCCATGGCTATCCTCAAAGAATCTGTTGCCCTATTCCAGATCTTATGCATTTCCCTTATTTTTGTACTTGATAGACTTTTTGTTTTTTGATTGTACATATTTGGCGTGCAGTTACCTCCCTGAAAGTGTTTTTTGCGACCTCCAATGCATTTTTTCCACTGATAGATTTAACTACAAGTATTACATTGAATGTGTAATAATTGAAGTCAGATTTCACAAAAACAAGCAGGGACCATGCTCCTTTGTAAGTGCCTGGTCAAATTGCACACATGAAGAAAGAAACATTCAAACAAGCTACAAAGCTTTTGTAGCTTGTTTGAATGTAAGCCTACTTGATTCTTCTCATGCAAGAAGGTGTAAATATTGCATGTTTGACCCTTTGCTTGGGTATACAAAAGAAGAAAAAGGGAGACGGCATCATCAATCAATTCATTTGATCATTAAGATAAATGAAGCCAATGAGTCAATGGTGCAATTAAATTCTGGCACTGTGTCTGGAATTGACATGATGTGGATGGTGTGATATCTTGGTTTAATATCATTGTCATGGTTATATTTACAAAGCTATCAGCACTGAAAGTGACACAATTCATTTGACACTTGGTCTTATTGAATTATTTTATTGGAGTTATGTACACAGCAGCAAAGGTTTATAGTGTACAACTTCACCCACAAAATCAAATGCTCTGCTTACATTATCAGAATGAAAGGCTTAAAGTGGACACCATGAGGAAAATCAAAGCTTATGGTGGTACACCATGAAGAGGAGGCCTATAGTGGTACAAGTCAAAATCAAAGGCTTACCAATATCTAAAGGAAAGGCTTAGCTTATAGTGGTACAACATTATCAAAATCATCAAGATCCAAATGGCCAAAATGTAACAATACCAATTTTTTTTGGGGACACTTTGAGTTATGCAGATGCTTTCGATGAGGCCAGAGAAACAGCAATGAGTGTGTAGTGGGGCGGTGACAAGCCAGGGCATCAGTATTCCAAATCATTGGAATCATGCACTTGATACAGGAAGTGAACCAGGAAGCACTCTTCAAATTTTTTCTTGGTCAAGCATATTCCACTGCACTATAGCCACATGTATTTTGATGTATCTGTTGGTTCATCAAGGGAAGGGTTAGCAGCAGTTACTGTATTGGTATCATACCTCCAACCGCAGTGCCGTAACTGACAAGGAGTTGGGTACTGCATTTTTGCAGTGCCTGGTACCCCAGCTGAGATCAAGTACGGTAATAGGTACTGGTACTGTAGCTGTTGGCTGTGACCTGTGACCAGTCAGTGGTTCACATTTTGGTATGTAACCCATCTACAAAGTGATGGATGTCCCCTCACCCTCTCATTCCAATCAATGAATTTGATAAGAGGCTATTGAACAAAAACGTCCAGTCAATGTTTTTGTTCAATAATTTTCTTCTCACCCCTTAGATACTAGCATAACCGGGCTGCAGAAAGTATATGGCTGCAGAAAGTATATGTTACACCTTCACAGTTTATGAAGTCACGACCACTAAGCATTGTATGTAGAATGAAACTTTGGCACCAAACAACACAAGCGGTTTGTGTGACACTACATTGTACCTGGTGCAACATATGCAGAATCTTGCTCAGTGCTTGATGCTAGTAATTATGTAAGAAATAAACAGATTTATTCATCAAACTATGTTCAGAACATCAAAACTTACTTGATGTCAGCATATGAGGTAGGTAGGTCAGAAGGAAACAGATGTATTCATCAAAGTATGATCAGAGTGAAGACTTTGGACCCATCAGTGTGGGCCAAGAGGGAACTTGCAATAATCCCGCTGGTAAAAGAAAATACAACAAACAGGAGGATACCACCAGGTTGACAAAGATTGGTAAGCTTCTGAAAACCCTGTCTTTTCATTCATGATTACTCTTGATGATTACTGACCATGGTTTATTTATGTTGAGCGTCCCTGGGCCTGGGGTGGCATCCCATTTCCCCTGTGCCCTTTTCATGATGACAAGTAAGCTCTTCCTTGTTCTGAGATTCAAATCGAAGTTTTCCACCCCATGTAAAATTCCTTGTAGCATGTCGACGTGCACACACAACAAGATTTGAAACAAAAGGAATAACATTTTGTTGAACTCAGTGTGCGCAAAGCACCTCATACCTGCATATCTGTCTCACTCTCACAAAGGGCTTGCTTTCTGAGCACCTGGACAGAGGGAGAGGGATGGTCTTTGGATCCAAAGACCTGTTCAAAGGTTCTATCCTTCCTTAATGACCTTTGTTTGGTGTGTGCACGTCGATGGGCTACCAAGGCATTTCCACAGTGCCAATTGTTGATGACCTTTGAATTGGTTTGTTACACCCAGTCACAACTGGGAAAATGACCAAATTGCACAACATAAATCTTTGGGTCAAATCTTTGGGTCCACAAAGATTGTTTTGGTCTACCTAGGTTTTGGGAAGATGGAGACAATGGGGTTTAGTTTTGGAGCTTGTGTTTCAACATGGCCGGCTATGGTGGTATTGAGACTTGAAGCATTGTGTAACCAAAAAAACCTTGTCACCATGCTCAACCACAAGGTCAAATCTCTCAAATCATTGTAGTTGACATGAATCAATCAATGTCCTGTTGTGGGTCCTTGCTAGGAATTCTCTGGGCCTCCTTGCAAAACAATATTGCTATGTGGTTGTTGCTCAAACACATCTGTTCATCAGATAAGATGTGTGATCCTTATTAGCACCCAAAGATCCATGGGGGTACATTGCAATCAATATCAAGTACAAGACTCTCAGCCTTCTACATCAATTTACACCAACACTTTACTACATCCACCCAAACCAGCACTTTACTAACTGACACCATCCCCCACCATTTCCATCAGGACATCACCCAAACACCGTTTCATTTAAAGCAAGTGACACTATGCAAGTCCAATCAAATTGACTGAGTGTGTGTCCTCTATGTTTGCCAGGCCACCTTTTCAGTGCAAGTGTATTGTCGGCATTGCATTACCTACCTCAAGGAGGAGCATGTTACATGCGTGTGGGGTGCGTACAAATGGGATACGTATATGTATCCAAGCGTTTCTCATCAAAGATGGCTCTCCGACTGGCCAGGTTAAGGAGTTTCACTTACCATTTATGACTGGGTGACTGTAGACTCACTGATCCACCATTAGGATTAGGAGCCTTTGTCAGAGTTTATTCCCATTACTCCGAAGAATGCTACCACTCATGGTTGAAGAGCATTTGATTCAATCATTAGTGGCATCATCGTTGTTGTTAGCTGACATTCGAGATATTGTGACCAAGCTACCATCGATCAAGACAAAAGAGGGACTCACATTGACGATAACTGATGTTCTTTGTGCGTTCGGAAAACTACATCAGAACGCACAAAGAACATCAATGACCAAGCCATTCAGACTCATATCAAACTTGCAAGGGGCTTAAAAATATATATTTGGGATAGGATCTTCTGCTGGGTTGAATGAACCTTCCAAATCATGAGGATGTTCACATGATTGATATCGGCCATCTTTTGACCGTGATCATGGAATGACTTTCGTCCATGTCCTTACACGACTATTGAAGACATTCAATATTGATCTGGAGAATGCGATATGTAACGTTGCCAATACTCAAAAGGATCACTTTCAGGATGCTTTTCGTAGTGGAGCTAGGTAGGTGTTGGAATCTCAGTATCCAAAATGCAAATGGCTCACTGATATAATCATAAGGCATTGACAAGAATCTGCAGCACTGACAATATCAGGGGAAAACGAAAACTTGAAATCAGTTATGATATGAAGCTTAATGAACAATCAGATGCAGAAAACATTTACCAATGTACGTCGCCCCTAACAAAATCGATTCTGAACTTCCTATCCACAGCTAGTTTCTGACATTCGGTCACTAACCAATGGCGTTCTGGTTTATGAGATTGAGCCCACCCTAATGATGAGAGAAGATAAAGAACAACATGGATCAGGTGTGGTGGACTCGAAGATAGGATGAAATGAATATTGGGGTCGGAGAGTTGACAGCCCGCCAGCTGGAGATAAAAGCAAAATGTATGTATGATCACAGTGATCATACATACAACACTTTCAATTCAGGATCTGAATTGAAAGTGTTGTACTTTCAAATCGGAATGACAACTTACGAAGGTGAGTAACAATCCACAAACGTTAGGCGCCGCTAAGACATTAGCCGCCGCTAAGACAGGATTAGATTTCTTTTGCAAGAAGCGTTCAGCGAAAACCATACGAGGTGAACGATCATACTTAGTAAAGAAACGGTTATTCCAGTTCAGTATGTCCACATGGCAGTATTTCTTCGATCAATCAAAGGAAATACTGACAGGAATCCCAAGTGAGATGATCCATTGTGTAACACTAGATGGTAAAGCACGACAAGCATTGAAAACCACTTTGTACGAGCTAGTTCTACAAAGTCGATCTTTCTTTCGCTCAGATCGAAAATCAAATAATAACATCCAAACTTGAGGTCCTACATAGGCCAAAAACGAATGATTTCAAACTGGAATGGATGGACATAATCCACCAAGTAAGAAACTGAAAGGAATTCCGATCTCTGGGTTGAGGAATCATTGAAGATTCGATCTGTTTCATCAACAATGAAGAGTTTGAAAGATGGGTACCAGCAGTATCCTCGTTCCAATGTGGAAGCAATGGGCACTAACCCATCAGCTGGTATGTATACGAACTAGTGCGAAGAACACCATCAATGCCAATACCCTCCATGTGATCCTGATTGAATGTAATCACAAGAATCAACGTCAAAGAATGACGCAAGCAATGCTTGCTTCGTGAGGAAAAAATAGAAACTGACTGATAATCGCTACCCGTCAGATTCCCATTTTGATAACCACGGCAGAGATTACTGTCTTCCAAACATTAAATGTTTTATTGTCTGATGGTGGTGATCGAGTAACAGGCAAAGCGATTGGTCCAAAACCCTATACCTGAAATCCAGCCTTGTAGGTATGATAGCAGCTAGTTGAAAGCGAGAGCAGAGAAAAAGTGCGACGCGGATCTATGTACTTACAAACAGATCGATACGGAAGATCGATACGGCAAACTTGATACGTGAATCCACGCTCTCTTTGCTTAAATTGATGATCAAATAGACCACAAAGCTTGGATGTAAAAAGTGATCCAGTTGAAAATCAGTTTTATTCCTGAACGAAGGTCTAAAACATATGAACAACATTCATCACTGGGCATCACTGGCAATACATGTGAAATGGGGCTAAAATCACTGACTTTTTGACAAGCTGGCCGGTTGTAAACAGGGTACACTGGATCGGTGTTGTTGACAACCCATTAGAGCTAGCATGATCAACAAACCATGTCAAGCACTGGTTTCGCAATTTCTATGAGATCATGAGAGTGTTTTCGATTAACTTACATGATGTGAGGTGATTCTGGTTCGTAATCCTGCTCAGCTGGTTCGATGATCTCGCCAGTCCTCTTATAGTCTCACAGACAGAATGCCGTATGCCCTTCCATTGGTTCGTAGCTCAGAGTACAACAACACGACAGGGCAATTGGCGACTTCTGCTGTCCAAAGGAGATGACTAAGGTGGACCGTACACTGCCTGCGATGAAATAGGAATGGAACAAGGACATCCAGTTTGAGTATCGTATCGAGGAAGAATCACATATCAAGGCAAGCTTTCTAAGGTGTCATCGGTTAAGGTGCGAGACCTACTCAGTATAAGTGAACTGATTGATCTGGCGAATGAGAATAGTGATCTTGCGATTCAGAAGACATTGCGATTCAGAATGGGAAAAGGTCCGAAAGTGTTCGGATTGTTATCATCAAAGCCCTAAATATTTTGAAGAGGAGGAATCCAGATAAATCATTAAACCCAAGTGTACTTTCAAAGACTTTGTCAGAAACTAACCCACCGTGATCCGGTATCAGAGACCCAAGATCGAGATCACACACACAGGAATTCTTATCCGAGGTTGGGAAGGACCGATTTGTTCCCCATCGATGAGTCAAGAAACAAGTTCGTTGGGTAAAATTGTAACGGTTTGCAAAAAAGATTTGTTGAATATGGGAGGTGGAAGGAAAATGGTCAGCTTGAGCTCATCATCGTATTAATCTCCTGCTCCATGCATTCACAAGCACATCCGGGTGCCTTGAATGCATGCGGAAAACGCCCAGAGATCCGGCAAAGGGCGGTTGTTCCTGAAGCAAGGAGAAGCAGTGTGAAAACAAGGAAAATCGGCGAACCTTGGAATGTGAACGTAGATGCATGGTTATTGTGGTGGGGGCGTGTGTAAACTCTTGTGGGTTGGAGGATGCTCTGGAGGTGAAAGATCAAGCTATGTGCGTGTTTGCCACTCCCGATTGGGGTGCTTGTGGACAAAGTACCGGTACATGTTAGGTTTGAGGTATTCGTATTTCCTGATTGTAAGAAGGGTATGGGTTATGAAGGTGACAAGGACGTTATCCAATATCAAAGGTACGATGATCTTACCTTTATGACGATTTTAGATAACACAAGCAACCAACTAAGAATCACCATAACTGTTCTGCTTTTTGTGCTTTCCATATGATTGTGTCGAGTCGATTAGTCTAAACCCATAAAAGGCACTTTGATTGATGATCAAATAGAAAAAAAAGGTTGTCTCAAACCTGTTAGTTGAACTGCTTAACAAAAGGCGACACCGAAGGTGTTTGTTTTAAATCATATGCATCAAGCTTAGTAATTATGACCGCGTTTGGAAGCAAGAGGTCAATTTATCAGTAGCGTCCTGGTATAATTGATAATTCATTGATCTACGCCACTCGATGTCGAAACCACTTCACCTTCACGGATTGGAACAAGTACCAAAGTTATGTGATTCAACTGCGTGAAGCATATAATGTGTCAAAAAGATGTGTGAAATAAACATGAGAGGCCATGTGGCCTTCACCACAGAGAACAATCAACGATGGATGACGAGGTCAAATTTCAATAGAATGGAATTTTGAGTTCACAGTTTTAGCATGATAGAAATCAACATGAGTCGATCTTAAGACCAAATGTAAACCCAATGATGAATAGCTCTCGGATGGATGATTTCGCAGAAAATGATGTTGGGTGACAAAAGATTATGTTGAACCCAGTATCAAAACGTTGTCACACCGGCGTTGATCACTACAAATTGACTAGGTGTGGTGTTTGTCAGTCATGTAAGGGTTTCCAGAGATATAAATCAAGACCTACCTTTGAACTATCACAACTTTTGTATCCCAATAAACTCCAAGGATGGCCGGGCAGCCAACGCGTCACTCAGCCACATGTTGCGAAGTTCAACCATTTCCTCCAAAAAAAACTCATACCGGGTAGCTTGCATGTTCCGACACATAGATGCAAATCCACCATACCATATGTTACTCAACTCCCCAGCAGAGGCATTAAAGATCCAAGACCCACTCTCTTGCAAGTCTGGAAATTTTTTGGGGTCAGTATACATTTGACAAAACGTATCGCTCTCTTTATGAGAGCGATGGTGGAAAGGGTCCACAGGGATGACAGTGTGTTCGAAGGGGGCGGGGTCCTTGTCTCCATTATGTATAACTCTTAAGAGGTTGCAGGCATTATCGTAAAAGATCACCTCCGGGAGACCATCAGGGAACGCTTCGACAAGGTAGTCCTACAAGGGGAGAATACATATGTCAGTAGAAGAGTTTAAAAAAAAAGAAACCTCAAAAACACCTAACTCTCAGAGCACTGGGTGCTTCAGCATTGTAGAAAGTTCGCCTAGACAATATAATGCCGCACGTACCCACAATGAGTTGGTCATTATGGGTGCGGGAGCGGCTCAAGACTGGGCCTCGTTTGGGCTTGGCTTCCCCACCATCACGGGCGGACTCGTGTTCGCGATCAGCCTCGTCAGCTTGGTGGAGGCTTTCGAGATCAACTAGCTCGGCAGTGTCGGGATGAAGGTGGACAGATGGATCGGATGGAAGGTTTGACCCAGGGCGGTTGAGCATTGATTTAAGTGAAAAGTTCTTTTTCTTCAAAGCTTTGAATTCAGCCCAAGCCGCTTGGTGGTTTTTGTCTTGACATGTTTCTGATTCAGGTTCTGCAAGGGCAGTACATGGTTGGGCGACACACCAACCCTTTAAAGCTACCTCATGCTCAGTGCAGAATCGAGATGTGACTTTAGGTAAAGCATTGAGACATGGGCCATCGGGAGGAGGCGCACCAGCGCGATGAGCAAGCACCTGAAGCTGCGCAGAAGACGCAGTGCAGCGCCAGTGACCTATCGTAAGTCCATCCGTGACCACAGCTCGGATGACTGAGAAAAATCGGTCATAAGTCCATTGAAAATACGGAGCACAACATAAATAATTGGGCCACACTCACTTTTAACGGCTTGTTTTCCTCCATGTTCAATGTTGCAAGCGCGGACACACAGAGAGCAGAAATGGTCGCGGTAAGATGAACCATGATTCGCGATGTGGTAAAGTTCTCGAACCATCGCAGGTAGGAACCGGTCGGCATCTTTTCCCTCAGCGCTGACGTGAAGGACATATCCGCGTTGCTCGCAACGTCGTAGCAAACTGAAGACGTCGACGGCATCGCGAGCGACCTCTTGTGATATCTTCGGGCTAGATTGATCGCCAAAGTGGGTCGGCACTTGCTGGTCCTTGAAATGCGTGAGGTTGTATAAATTGACGAGATTGAAGTTAGATATGCTTTGGACAGAAGGGTGTGTCAGCTACATTCTTGAAAATTGTATGTGAGAAACATGTAGGACTCACTGTGCTAACATCTGAGATTGGCGAAAGGACATCGCAAGTCGGTGAGTCATTGCAAAGTGGCAGTGAACTTGAAAATGATGCGGATCGGCGCCCTGAGCTTTTGAATAGTAAACTCTCTGCTTGTTTTTTGTTTTGTAATATGATGGCCGGTAGTAGGTATTACAATCTGAAACAAATCATTCAAGTGCCATCTGGTCAGTAGCTGAATATGTGAAAGTATATTACCATGTGTCCAAGCGTTAAAACATACCTAAACAGGCCCATGTGTGGAACTCGGCCGAGTGGATACCATCGAGGTCATACATGTAACCATCGATTCGAGGCCGTTGTCGGAGTTGTCGTCCGGAAGATTGATCACAAACTAAGCAGGTATGGGTGGGGGGGGTGAGGTAAACCTCGTAAACTTTGTTCTTTTTGAGGTCCTCATTGAGGCCGTGTAGGCGTATCATGTTGGCGGGATTGATGTGAGCAAATGGAATCGAGGGAAACGAAAGAGTCCATAATGATTCATAGTCGCCTTCGTCGATTGCCAGCTGTAAGGCAAGCCTCATAAATGGAAGCATCCGGGTGTCACTAGATGTCAACATCAATGCTTCGTCAGCGCGGTCATACACCTCACTGGCAAGATTAACAAATTTAACAAGGTCGGTGATGGTCAGATGGGCTGCTAGATTAGGGTGCTGTTCATTGAGTCGAATAGCAAACTCGGAGAGTAGCATGTTGGCCTGTGAAAAGAATAGGCCGAGATGCCGATGGAGGGTGATGGTGGTGTTGCCTGTGGCCTTGATCGAAAGTGGTGTTTGTGACTTGTTGAGGTGGTAGGGGGTGGGTGGAAGGGCAGGCGTGCCCACGCGGTACATACCCACAATACCCACACGGTACCTGATTTGATCACAGGCCTGAGGGTGGCGTGATAACCCATGGAAGTGGGAGGAGTCCTGGTCACGTGGACCGCAGTGGATCACGTGTGACCGTGGATGGTGAACTTGTGGTTACAACGACATGTGCATACAAGCATGGAGCTAGGGCTGTACGATGCTTGTACTTGAATTTGTCAGGCCAGGTCTGATAATTATCAGCCAGAATACGAAAGTTCGATGTACCCGAGCCCTGAAGCCTGATGATTGGTCGGAAGGTGGTTGACCACGTGTTTGTATAGCAAATGTCCAAGCTCCCATTTCACCATGTCAATGTCCTTGTAGCACTTCAACTTGCACACACAAAGAGTTTCGAAATGCATCTCAAAGTCTTTTGGTCGGATTTAGAGTGAAATTGTTGTTGAGCTTTGTGAATAATTCAGTTATTTTAGGATTTTGTGATGTGCTTGGTCAGGCTGAGCCTCGAGCCCGACACTCCAAGGGGTCTCCGGACCTCGAATCCTCGGGGCGCCGGCGCAAATGCATAAAACCCCCAATCCTGTCCGCGGGGCTCCCCGTTATCCCGTGGGCTAAGAGCATCCACAGCCGTGCCGTTAATTTGTACCGTACGGAGCTTCGCACAGATCAGTTAGGGCAGTGTTTGAGGTATAAAAAAATCCCTTCCACAGCCGTAATTCCCTACAGTACAGTTAGTAGCATTATTTAGCATGATTTTCTCATATGCTATGAGCGAGTGAGAAAGACTGCAGTTTTCATTGCTCAGGAATCATCGAGATTGATTGGAAATGATTGATCAATGAACATAAGAGCATCCACAGCCGTGCCGTAAATTTGTATTGTACAGAGCGCCGCACGGATCGTTTAGGCAAGTGTTTGAGGCATAAATTTCAGACAATGCACAGCCGTGGTGTCGTACAGTACGGCTTGTAGCATATTTTGTGAAGTGAGTTATGGGTTAATTGATCATCGAGGGAGATATTTTGCAGGGAGTGCAGTCGTCGAAGTGGGAGTTATGGGAGAAGCGAGGTACAGATGAATTTAGGGAGCGAGCCAAAATAGAACATATTTGGCCTATTTTGGCTTGCACAGAGGGAATTCCCTTAGCTACGTGAAAATTTAGGGCATCGGCTGTGGATGTTTTTGCCCTAAATTTCCGTATGACACGGTTTACGCCACACGGCTGTGGATGCTCTAAGCCTTTCAACCTTTCAAAAAGTCATGATCACTGGACAGTCATTGTTTTCAAACCTCTTGGCTCCTTCAAGTGCACATCATCTTGGGAATGAACAGAATATCATCATGTTGAAAATATCTAAATTGTTTGATTTCAGGCCTTTTGAATAACACAACTGCTCCAATTTCCTTTGTTCTCAATCCTTTCTTTGAATTCCCAAAAAACAGATCAAAGTCTTGACAAAAGACTGTTCACTCTGTCCCAATTTCTGTTGTCTTTGAATCAATGATGACACAATGTGAATTGTGAATTGTGATTGAAAGGACACGGTTGAACAAGAAGATGTGATTGTGCAAGGAAACAATCAAATCTAATGTTTATCCCAATTGGAATTGAAACTGTAGTTGGAGGAAATTTGGCACAGTGGTTTTGAAATCATGGGAGAAGCAAGGTACAGAAGGATTTGGGGTGTGAGCCAAAATTGAACATATTTGGCCTTTTGTGGCTCACACGTAGAGAAATACCTAAGCAAAGTAAGTGTTTGAGGTAGACGGCTGTGCACAAAACTACCTCAAATATCTGTACGTCACAGATTTACGGCACGGCTGTGGATGCTCTAAAGGCAGTTGGATTTGGGTTCAGGTGTGCTCCTGAAAGCCGGGTTTATGTACATTGGTTTGGGATCAGGGGCCAGACGGGGGGCTTTGTGAATTTGGGTCACGGGCCAGGTACAGTCAAACCTGTGCAAACACATGATTTGGGTGGAAGACTTTTGCTATGCATTTTTACAGGTTATGCAATTATGTTGTCAAACTGGGCAGTAAAAAGCATCAAGATTAAGATCTTTTTCTATGCCTTATCACGGGTTATGCAGCTGCACGGGTTTGCCTGTAGGCCACTACCTGTGTTTTTTGGGTCAGAGCTCAGCACCTCAGTCCCATACCTGAGGATCCTCAAGTTTGAGTCCACACCCACACCCCCAAAAGTAGTTCTACTTAAGTGTATGTGTGGTTGTGATGGTTCTTTGTGATTTTTTGATAATCACATGTAAATTTCAAGAAAATTGTTGAAAAGAAGATGTTTGGCAATGAGTTTTGCACCAAAGCAAAATCTCAATCCCTGTGCCAAAAGCTACTTTTGAGTTCCTTTTGGATAATTGCACAAAGGCAGATTGATCATCAACAATCTCTATTGGGGACTTGTCAAAAATCAGCATTTTAACTTCATCAATGTCCACATCACTTTGAATCAACTTGATACACTGTGAACATCATTCAACTTCCTAAAGTTAGAAGAGGAAAATGATTAATGGTACAGTTTGTCATAAAAGGATTCAATACTGCACACCTGAGCCATAACACCCACATTACATACGTGTAGCAATCTATCCATCTTCAGACTACTCTGTGTTCAGCTTTAGTTAAGCTCATGTAGATAGTGCTCACATTAATGTTTTCATTCCATTTGTCTCTCATTAATGTATTTGTCTCATGTGACTCTCTTTGTTTTATTACTATCTATTCATATCCTAACTTGTTCCTTCTGAGTCAAACAGTCTTTATTTAGGTGATTACCTTATTCAGGCTCTGACCTGGTGTGGGGGGGGCGGAGGCCTGGGGACTGCCTGTCCGAGAAGGGGTTTTTGTGGGCGGGGGCTGGTGGGTGGCCCAAGGAAAACTTTTTTGCTTATCTCATATTCATCCTTAGTGCATTTCTTTCCGCTGGACATTATCTGTCATGCTTCCGTATCAACGTTTACTTATTCTCTGTGTTTCACAGCTGTTTGCACCGTTCTTGTCAGGGTGGCTATTATTCAATCAGCTGAAATGGATCTAGACTTACTCTGTTGAAGACCTGACTAATATCCCGCTGTGTACGTGGGATGAGGTATCTTCGATTTCCTGAATGGATTAACCAAAGATAAGGAAATTTTAAGTATACTTCTAAGATTTCTAGAAAAGGATTCTGAAGTATAATTTCTTCCTATGGAAGAATCACAGGCCTACTGTTGGTTAACAGCAGTGGGAGAGTCACTCCTAGACCTGATAATTTCTCTTAAGCCAAAGCTTTAGAGTAGCCTGATAATCCGGAGAAAATACAGGGATCTCGTACCAACTTTACGTTGCGAGAACTGGGGTATTGACTAAGTAGAATTTACTTACGGATTAGGAAAGTTAGGATAAATTCAATTGGAATCTTATTTGACAGTAAAGGAGCTAATGAGCCGGTTTGGTAATCTAACTGGGTCAGAGAACTAGGTCGCCTATGGAGTATAGATTATCAAAGGGAGTCAACAACTGGTCTACTATTTGACAAGAAGAAATTCCTAAAGAAAGTGAGAAGGTATGGTACGTTTATTTTACTGGTATTTAATCTCTAAGAAGACTGAATTGGTCCTTGTTAGAATTTAAGATAAGTAAGATGCAATGCCCCCTTCATCCTCTAGCAAGATAGCCTGGTTCTTATAGCTTTCAGGAAATTTGTTCAACTCGTGGTTTTCGTTTGTGATAACTTAGTGAGTCATTTTAGCTAATACTATTTTTTTATGCCGGCCGTAGCGTGAGTGTTTTCTAGTAGACTTACTTCTTCAATGATGATTATGGTTTGCTCTAGTTCTTTACTCGAATAACGAGATTAACGTGAGATCCGTTTTTTACGTAAGAGGTCACGATGCTTGGTCACTAATGATCCTTGTTTTACGTAAGGGAATGTTCCCTGATTCTTTATTGTATACTTTGACAAGGACTCGTATATATATTAGAGAGTTCTTGTCTTAAAAGTTTTCTTAGTTCGTGGATTATTTCTTATCTTTATTTGATATTCTTCTTCTTTTTTATTCTTCGTGCTAAGGTAGGTCTTGGCATTCATTATTTGAGATTCTACTAGTCTCTTTACCTAATCTGTCTTTTGTACTATCTTCTGTGAATCTTTGAAACTAGATGCGTAAGGTGTTTTCTTTTTAATGATAATCAATAAAATAGAAAATATAAAAGAATTAATTATGTGAGGAAGTAATTATAGGATCCCGGTATCCCCACCACCCCCCCTTGGTAGCCTCACCACCCCCTCCCTTTCACAGCTAGTAAAAGCGTTACTATATTATGTGTGAAGTGCTTCTGGAGCTTGTGTCTAAGATCTCAAGTACTGACAGTTCTGGTCTGGATAGTTATCCCTCCGTTCTGGTCTGGGTAGTTATCCCTTAGTACCATAATACCCTGTCCTCTGTAGGGTGGGCGGGATGGTTTTTGAAAAATGAAATCTTATTATTTCTTTTTGGAAGTTGTAATTCTTTAGATTTACAAAATTGAATCTGAGGTGTATGAGCGTTGAGAGGTGTACAGAATTGTGAAGCTTGAAAATTTTTCACAATTATCACTGACATGCTTCATTTGCTTAGATCCTCAATTCGATGACATCACAAGATCGAAAAACTAACAAGTACTACCGAGGTCTTTCTATAAATGATGAGGAGTGGGAGGCAGTGGAGGCTTTAAACCCGGTCCTAGAGGTGAGTCATCTCTTGAAAAGTATCCTTTTACTTGCTGACCAGACAATTAACTTTGTTCAAACAAAAAGGTATTCGAAGATGCAACTTTTCGCATGCAGGGCGACTTTTCCTCAGGATGTGAGGTACTCGCCGAATACCTACGAATCAAGAAAAAGCTTGAACTTCTGAAAAGTCAGACTATCTATCCTAGTATCCTTGTAGCCATCAATGAGATGTTATCTTGGCTGAAAAAATACCAGGATGAGGCATTGGCCACCGAGATCATTGTCATCGCCACGATCCTCAATCCTTGACGCCGAT